AGGCTGGGATTTCAGTGCAGGAGTAGTGGATGTGCAAGTGCACAGGTGTAAGACAATAACACCATACAAAGCAAAACACTATGGGTTATTTATTATTAAGAGAATAGCCACAAGATAAGGATATTTAGTTTTCACGTGTTGAAAAAAAGGGAAAAAGCAGCCATTGGAAAAAAACTTGTATATAGAGTTGCATATAACCTTCAAAATCCCCCCTGAGGGTTTCTGGGCAGGAACAAAAGTGCACAAGGACTCTGTAACATTATTAGTAGTTAAAATAGAAAAAAAAAAATGATATCTGTGGAGACTTTTGTGTTTGAACAAGCCTCCGTGTCTCCCTGCTTTTCTTCTGCCTAAGAGGGCCGAGATACTTCATGCATAAATGAAGCGTTCCCAGCAGACGACTGGAAACTTGAACCTCAATAAATTTGAGAGAAAGTGTAATTATTGTAGGAAAATCTGGTCTTGGGCTATTACGGCTATTAAGCGGACAGTGAATTGTTCTCTGCTCACAAAAGACTGGGATAGAAGTGTCACTCTGTGTATTTCCCAAATTAATGTGAAGCTCATTTCAATAGCCGGTATTGTAAATTATCAAAATAAAAGGACCTCTTACCGTGTTATTTTAATGTAATTAAAGTTTAGAATGACCCTGGAGCTTGTCTGCACTAAACAAGAAGAAATGTATCACATGGGTAAACTCTGTAGCGAGATGAAATGAAAACTGCCTTTTTGTGACCTTCAGGAGGATGTTAATGCAGTCCCTTACCTACTCATGTACTTCAGATGGGTTCAGAAAGACCTCCTTTCTTCGCCTACGCAAGAAGAACTCAACTAAGGTTTTAATTTATTATTATTTTTAATATTAGGCCTAAATTGCTTTTACCTGGGAGAAAAGCAGGGGACTGAAACTGGCCTAAAGTGATACCCACCGTTACCTCCCTGTTACACGTTGTAACCCCTCTGCATGTCACTGAGAACAATAAAGAAGGGTCTTAGCAATGCTTACAGAGATCTGGTGGGGACAATTCCACTGTCCCCAAGGAGGGAGCCTCCCCTGCTGTCTGTCTGATCTGTCTTCGGTCCAAACTTGTGCCGTCCTTTGATATAAATGGCTGCACTGCAGTCAAATGCCTCCTCAGCATCCAGCAGGACTGGAGAAGCATTATATCTTTTCTGATAGCAGCATCAGAAACACACCATATATATAATGAAAGTTATTTGTGGACTGTCTCCCAGATAAAAGGCTGGGCCAGTTTGTGCAATCAGGCACATCAACAATTTCGCACTGATGGGTGAAGTCGTTTAGGGGGGGGGAGGCATGCGAGAGATTTAAGCTGCAAGCGATGCACACCACGTTAGAGGTGAAATTAAAGAACCTTTCTCAAAGGTGTTATGTTCCAAAAGCGATATATATAAAAGTTATGGTTCCATTTATAACATTATGAATTGAACTTGTCTAAAATGCGTGTTGGATCCTCGCCTTTAAGCCTGAATTAACTCTGAACCTCAGCGATGCTGCCGATAGCTGCGCAGTCACCTTCAGGAGGCTGGGCAGTGGGATGCGGACTGGGGGCTGGTAGCGGGGAAATTGGGGCTGAGGGTGGGTGTGAGAGGACTCAGTGGCGAATCTGGGTGGGAATTTGCATCAGGCACTTTGTGAGTACTTGCAAAACTCTTTTCCTTGCCACCAAAGGACTCTCCACAGCTAATATTTGATTCAAAGACATGCAGCTCTTCACCGAAAACCCTTTTAAGCCCATATAGCTACAGAGTCCTGCTCTATTTGATTCCATCCTGTGCACTGTACCCGCAGTGCTGTACCCCAGGTCCCTGCTGTCGATGATCCCACTAGGCGATGTGGCTGCCACATGCCATGTGCTGTTTGCTCCCCGGGCAGACAGCCTCTCTTTTAGGGTTAGCATCTTTTTTCCTTTAATATAGGGGTGGCTGCAAAGTACAGAGGTTACAGAGATGTTTGGTAAGGCAAGAGCAAGGAATTGTGCCCAGCGATTGGAGCTCTGCCCTTGGGAATCCTGCCATTTCACACCTGCTTTCACAGCACACATGGGCTCCCTCAGTTCATCCCCTCCACAAGTGCCAGCGAGTTTTCCCTGCACAGGAGCTGGGTAAAATAACTTCTGTTTTTCCACGGCAGCAAGGCTGCTTCTCCAGGTCTTCATCTCCCAGCTTCAAAATCAAAGCCCCGGAGCAGATACCTTGAGAGAAAGGGCTTGGATTAAGACGAGGGCTTTATATTCTGCAGCAAAACCGGAGCCATCAGCACTGTTTTGGGGTTTGGAGGAGGGCTTCATCCAGCAGCCCTGCTCCTGGGGAGCAGCAGGGCAGGGCACAGGCGGTGCTCGCTCCCCCTCTGCTGGAGCCCCGCGGAACCGCTGCGGGAGAAAAAGGCTGGGGAGAGCAGAATTGGGGTTAGGGACCCGGCAGAATAAGGCAAAAACTGGGCTACAACCCCCACACACACATGCAAACACCCCCCGGAAGGGACATGTGCCCTGCTAGCCGCTTGTGCCCATTTCTCTGAGTTTGGAGATGGGCATCCTGCTCCAGGGGTGGCATCCCTGCACACGCGGGGGCTTGCAGCTGGGTGGGCTGCAGGATCCCTTCTGCCCCCAAATGCTGTGTCCCTTCTGCCCCCGACCAGTGGGACCCTTCTTCCCCAGACCGGTGGGTCCCTTCTGTCCCCAACCAATTCCACCCCAGGCCAGCCATTTCCATCTCCTGCCCATCCCTGCCAGCTGTAACACGGGGAAAAATCTCATCAGGCTCTCCCTTGCCAATAACATTTTGTCCCTGCTCTGTTTCCAGTGATATGTCACAGGTGAATCAATCTAGGTGTCTTCAAGAGAAGGGTGGATTGTCCTAAAATTTCCCTAGGCTGCACCAGGCACACCAACCCCCTTTCTGAAAGTGCGAAAGATTGGGGTAAGTGATATTCCTGAGGTGTTCCTGTGGCTAGTCTATGGTAAGACTTGGGAAATCCAGAAAAAGGACTGCCCTGGACCTGTATAATATACCTGTAACATACAATAAACTCTATTGTTCATAAAGTTGCTGAAAGGAATAAAGAAGGGAAAATAAGTGTGCTTGCAGCCTTTGGACTGAGGTGTGTATATAAGACGGTATTGAATCACTGCAAAAATAATAACATATATATAATTAATAGGTTTAAGTCCTGATTTTCTGCCTGGGTTCTCCAAGGAAGCTCGTGGTGCCTCGTGGCCCTTTAGGTGACCCAGCCTGGAGGAGATGAGCAGAGCTGGCTCCCCCTTGGTGCTGCTTGATGTGCACAGCACCATGGCTGCCCTGTGCTCCACCACAGTTATTATGACCCAGCACAATTTATGGCAGCCCCGGGGCTGCTTTCGAATGAGGTGAGGCAAGCGGGGGTCCCACCAGGGCTAGCACTCACCAAACGCTTGTTTTAGAGACACCTTTGGCTTGTCTTTATTTCTTTTAGGACCCGCGAGGAGGATACTGCCCTGTCCCTTTCTGTAGGACCCCAGCTCCAAAGTCACAACCTCCCTGTTCTCCAACACTTCTTTAATTCAGGGCCTGCGTTCATAGCACTGGGCGGCTCGTAAATCCTCCCCAGCCCCTGTGCACAAAGCCACCATTCATTCTGGTCACGCCACGACTCCAGGCTGGGCTTGGGGGACTTCCCTGCCGGCGTGCGGCTCGGCGGGACCCCCTCTTTCTTCTCCGAGACCACCACGCAGCAGCAGGGCTTTTCATGTGGCCAGGAGTGAGACTTAGGCTTTGAGTCATGTCTCCAGTGACCAAGCCTTTTATTTTCCTTCTTTTTTTTTTTTTTTCTTAATTTTTTTTCATTTTCCCCCCTTTTATATGTATATATATATATATATTTTTTTTTTAATTTTATTTATTTTTTTTTCAAGCCCTCAGCAAGCTTGGCTCTGACAGGCAGGGTCATGAGAGCACCAGTCCTGCTCCCAGGGGTGGTACGGGTGGTTGGGCAAGGCCTGATGGCCGCATGCAGAGAGGCAATGCCCATCCACAAGCCGCGTATCACCCCCATTACCCTCAAATCATTGGAAAGAAATTTCAGATGCCTGAGACACCAGACACACACGGTCTGCCAGCAGGTCCCACACATCACAGGCATGTTTTCCTGCAATCAAAAGGCCTCCCAGTGCTTCAGGGGTTCTTTTCCAGGCAGATCCTTGGGGATGGTCTATGTGAGAGGTGCCGTATCCCCGTAGGTGGGAGTAGGGCCAGCCTGACAGGGGCAATCATTGCTCAGGATACTGATAGATCCCTGCCAGTGCAAGCCCTACAGGCACCCACCTCCCAGTACTGCCCAGTTAGGGCTTCATGCTGCTGCCATCCCTCTGGGCTACAGAAGAAAGACCAAATAAATCTGATCAGTTATGGAGGGAAAGAGGAATTCCATGTGGTTCTCTTCCTGCCAAGCTCAGCAGCCCTGCTTTTCCTGGGAGATGTGCTCTGCAAAAGCACGGGATCAATGTTTGGACAGAGCCTTTCAGGGTCTTCTCCAGGACCAAAACATCCAGGAAAAGCCTTATTTGCTCATATTTAGCTGGCATACCCTGTGGACATCAAGGAAAAGCTCACTGAGAGGAGGAGCAGCTTCACCAGGGAACAAATACAGATTTCAGCAAGGACAACAGTTTTTGCTGGGCTCTGCTATCTAGGGATGAAGCCAACACGTTTCCCCTCTGGGAAAATGCCTGCTTTAATCCCTGCGAGCTCCCCAGCTCAGGCTGGGTGGATGCAGTGGGATGGGCATCGCAGCGGGGAGACCACAATGAGCAGCAAGGGTCAGTGGGGCTCTTTGTATTTTAAAGGTTAGGGGCTGCGTGTGGTGCTGCTGGCCACCCCTTCCCCACCTCCAGCCAGGCTGCGAGCCTTTTCCACCAGCAGTGGGAACGAAACCAAAACCTAGGCAGAGGACTTGTGCCAGTTCGATCCCTGGCTTGCAAAAACGCAAAACCTCCCTCCAGCTGGAGGGCTGATAAGATAAGCAGGAGGGGAAGGGCTGAGCCCAGGTGAGGCTCTCCCCACCCCGGGGGCAGAGCCGTGGCCCAGGTGTGTTTCAGGCTCGCTCCGCCTCGCCGGGCAGCAGGAAGGGTGACGGAGCAGGAGGACACCGTGGGGCTGGATGGGTGACGCTGGCGCTGAAGAGCGAAGCCATGGACGTGGTAACTCCCTCGGGCTGCTCCCTTCTGCCGCGGCAGGGACTGAGCTATGTGAAATGCTTGCTGCTTGGCTCCCCTCCACATATTTATATACTCAGGGCTGCGGGTAGTAGCTTATCCTCCTGGTGAGATAAACGCTCCTAGAGCTGTTCTGCTCTCCGTGGAGCCACGCGGGGATGTTTCCCTGCCCCAAAGCAGGCACTGAGGGGCTGCTGGTGCCTGGCTTCTTCCCCACCGCTCTGAGATGAGTGGCAGTGGCTCCCTCTTAATTTACTGAAAAATAGAGGTGGATTTTTAATTTTCCTAAATTTTTTTTAGAAGAAGCCGGTGAGTTAATGAGTAGCCGGCAGCTGTGTGTGGGCAGAGGGCAGCGCCGGTTACACATTCACCCATGGGAACTCCCTTGGTGATCCAGAGAGGGGAGGAAAACAGAGGCACGTCAGGAAGGGAGCGAGCGGTCCTTCCTGTCCCCGTCTTCAGTAGGGTTTCTCTCCCTCTGTCGATTATTTCTAGAAAAGCAGAAAGGTACTGAGAGCTCAGGCTCCTTTTGGGCAGCCCTTATAACAGCACAGACCTCCAGCTGCTGCTCTCTCAGAAAGGTGCCCGTATTGAAGCCCTAGGCTGAGCTTTATTCTGCTTCCTAGCATGATATTAATGTTAGAAGAGCACTTTATTTATAGGGAGAAAATATGGAAAGTTTAGCTGTCCCCTGACTCCATAATGCTTGTAGCTTTCCGGCCAGGAAAAGTTTGTTTCCTTTTTATTCTCTCCCTCTCTCATCTTGCATGCTCTTTTGCCAAGTGCGTTATTATTCCCGGTGAATTATTTGGCCAGATGTAGCTGTAATGCATGCCGTGAGCTTTTTCCAATCCTTTAAATTTATGGGTGGCTTCTCCCCACTGTGCTGACCGATCTGATTTACAGCTGGGTGCCCGGCAGCCTGGGCTGGGGGGGCAGGACTTGATGTGTGCCCTGAGCCGGGTGAGGGGCTTCCAGGGCTCATCTCCCTGAGCTGGCTCCAGACAGAGCTGGGGAAAATGCCCTGTTGAGACCTGGAGAACTCATTGCACAGCAGAGGACCCCGCTAAGTTCAGCACAAGCTTGAAGGGAAAAAAGGGAGCCTTGAATCCACCTCTGTGCAATCCAAGGTGCCAGCCGGGGGGCTGCCCTGTCTGCCCCAGCAAGTACCCAGCCCAAAATCCTGTTTCGCCTTGCTTTTGGTGCTGGGCACGCTGAGACACGCAGGTACTTCTTCTTTTGCTTTCTCTATCTCCAAGGGTGCTTCCGGGGAACTACATGTTGCAGAAACAAAAGGAAATCAGTAAGGAGAGGTAAACAGCGCTGAACTCTTCAACTGTTGCTACAGCACGTGCAAAAGCTTGGTGCAATCGCATTAGGGCACCGCGCTGCTTTATTTCCTGTCTGGCATCGCTGGAGGGATCTGGGACACGTGGGATTTGTTTTAAACCTGATTCATCCTCCGTATGCTTCTGAAAATTCCCACTCCCTGTAGGCTCTCTGCTAGATTAGGCTGTCTGGGCAGCTTACACGGCATCACACTGCTGACCACTAATATGAAATATAATTGGAGCAATTCAAACCTCTCCCCCAAGGGCTGGCTCTTTACATCATGCACTACCCTGTGAAAGTAATAAAGTTAGTGAAAGGGGTTATTCAAGAGAAATTGTCAGTGTTTAATAAATCGTGCAATTAAATGCAATAAAACCTCAGTATGCTATTCATCTGTTCTGCCTTAACACTTAAGGCTGGGGCTTTTTTCAGAATAACGAAGTTCTGTCCCAGATAATTTTTTCCAATTTCCTCATTAGACAGGTTCTCGTGAAGCCTTACAGTTCTCAGCACTGAACTACGCTGCCAGAGTAGTGCACCTAATGTAATCATGGCATATAAAAAGTTATAGAGCAGTTCAAGGACTTAAGTAGCTCATAAATTTTTCTTCATATTTTCTCCTTAGTTCATTTTGGGGCTGAGTTTAAGCTGCAGCATTGCAGCCAAAAACTGGGGTCTTCTTTCTGTAGTGGGGCATCAAGATGTCTGGGGAGAAAGGGGTGAGCAAAATGTTCTTTAAGTGCCCTTTCAAAGTGTGGTGTTACTGATTTTTATTTGTTTATTTATTCATTTATTTATTATCAAGATCATATATAACCTTGGGACTGGTGGCTGTATGGGAGAGGAATCAAGTGTCTTAGCCAGTGTTCATCACCCAGCCCAGGAGATGCTCTTGCCGTCCTCGTGTGCCACGTGGGTGGTTTGCATGTCCTCTGCGCCACGGGGTGGGAACAACAGCAAGTCTGAAGCCTCTTTTTCTCTGAAACAATCACATAAATTGCCTCTAAAAGCAGATGTTTTCTGCTCTCTTTTCTTCTCCCACCCAGGAAGGTGTGACTGATTTCAAAGCCCTCCGAGCAAAATTTCAGAATGACTCCAACCTTGCCAACAAACTGGTGCGGCCATGCCAGAAACCTCCCCCCAAAATCGCACCCAAACCAGGCTCTGGAGGCAGTGGCATGTCCAGTCCCAGTGCCAGTGATTAAGAGAGAAGTGCTTGTACCCAAACCCAAGGATGGACCTCTCCATCCTGCCTCCCAGCCCTCCGCTCTCACGTGGTGGGCCAAGCTGGAGCGCACGGAGCCGATGGAGCATAAGGAAGAGAGCAAAGGAAATGTCTTGGAGAAAGGGCTGAGCTCCCCCAGGATCGGCTCTCAGAAGCCTCCAACACCCTGTTGCACTGCCCAGCAAGGACCAGTCCCTGAGGATGCTCCGCTCTCCAAATCTTTCCACCATGCCCTGCAGATGTGGGAAAACACTTTATCCTGTGGGGAGAAAGCAAGCACAGAGCTCCCAGCCCAGCGGGCGATGAACCTGTACGTGAACCCTCGCCCGGAGCAGAGGGTGATACATGCTCCCACTGTGCTGGAGAGCAGCAAGATGCAACCAGATGGAAACCAGACTGCCTCATCCCAGAGGAAGGATGCTCTGCGTGGCCTCGGGCTGACTTCTCCCCAGGCTGCCAGGAGAGATGGGAGAGCTGCAGAGAGCACTGCAACAATCACATTGCAACCTGAACGCCATAAAGGTATAGTAAACTATAATCTTATTATATATATTATTATATATATATATATTTATTTATATATACACACGCACACGTGAGCGTATATAGGTGTTCTGAATCTGCAAGGTACAGCACAACAGGTAGGAGAGGAAGGCAAGAACAAGCTGGGCCCCTCAAAGTGTGATGTTAATTGGTTTGTGGGAGTGCTCCTCTTCTTCCTTGAAGGTCCTGGAGATAGGGGAGGGTTCCCGGATTCCACTGCATTTTTCAAAACCCCACTCTAAGAAATTGTCAAATTTCTGAGAGTAGAGTAAAGTGTGAGAAAAGGGGAGCACCTTATTTTCGTTTGCCTTGGCCTACTGCAGGGTAAACATGACTACAGCCTGCTGTTTGGTTTTCACACAGATGTACAAAGGCTTTTCTTTCCTGCAAAGGTAGTTTAGTTCAAATAAAAGTGGTTTAAGCCTGAAGTCTCTGTTCCCTCTCAGTTTTGTGGCAGGTCACACGTCAGCAAGGAGAGCGTGTTCTCCTTGCAGTATTTCTTGCAGAAAGGGGAGGTGAATGCAGCGAGGTCCCCCTGGCTAGCATCATGCTGAGCAGCAGGGCACTGCAAGATTGAGTCTTTATTTACTCTGGAAAGCTTCCCCGCTTGGGCTGGGTATAGAAAACAGCCACAGTCCCAAATCCTGGCAGATTAAAGAGTTATCGGTACAGAAAATTAGGCTAGTGTTTTATAACCAACAGGAAGGGAGCTGTTGAGAGTTGAGGCCCCGATATGGCAAACTTTGTAAAAATCTTGAAAAGTGGCATTTTTCTCCACTTTTCCATTCTGGTAGTGTGGTAAGAGCCTGTTGTGTTACGGGGACTGCTGACCTCAGGGGGAAGCAGTGATGGTGAGAAATCACTGTGTAGAAACTAGCGATGCTGGGTGGATTTGTGCTGCAAGGAGGGGTAATTGTGCCTGTGCTTGTGGTTCCCTGGAGCAGAGCCGGAGCATCCCCTGTGCCATCTGGGAGTGGGAACAAGGTTGAGCAGCCTGGGCAGCAAGCCACCAAAAGTGAAACCCCTTCCTTCAGCTGCGTCCCTGGGTCCTGCCCCCAGGAAGCCCCCGAGACCCCCGAACGTTGATCTCAGCTCTTTCCGAAGTGCGATGCCTTCAGTCCACAGAGGAAATGAAACAAGTAAGAGATTTCTAGCCTTTCTCCCCAAACCAGCCCTTCAGAAAATGAATGAAAAAGTAGTTCATTGACATCTATAAGGTGTGTGGAAATGAGGGGTCATTGCTCGTTTCTCACATCCTCCTCAAATATTAGCAAGAGCCGATCATTGGCAACGCAGATGCTTTTTGCCCTTAATCTGGGGAAGGGATCTCGTGTTCCACGTTGGGCGCCATCCCCCGTGCAGAAACCTGCCTCCCTTCTTGCTGCAGCTCCATTGCGAGCGCCGGCAGCTGCTGTGGTTTTACGGCCAGCTGCAAAGCACTGCGAGCTGATCTTTATCGCCCCGCTTCAATGCGAAATGCCTTCGCTCTGGAGCACACGGCTGTGGGAAGGCACAATAAAATCGGTAGAAACCAGTCTGCTAATCCCCCCCCCCTTATGTTTTAAATACAACAGAGGGCAACGTCGTTAAACGTTCCAACATCAAGAAACGCAAGAATTGAATTTCCCATAATAAAACCCCATTGATGTTGCATAATAGAATATTTTGGCCTGCTTATTAAGCTGCTAAATGCTGTTTCTTTATAGATACAGGCTTAATTACAGCCAGATCTGTAGGCACAACTTTTGCTGAATTCAAAGGGAGTTGCATTTCTAAGAAGGGCTCAGCTAAAATCTTGTTGGCTTACTGAGCCTGTGCTTGCTGCTCTGCTCTGGGCTTAGCAGGAGTCACAGGCAGAGATTTTCACTGAAAGTCTTCCCTAATGTACTTGCCTTTTCTAAACATGTAAATGGCACAGAGGAAACTAGTTATTTATATGTCATCACTTGCGTGCCCTATCAATATTGCTCAGCTATTGATCTCTAGAAGGCCTGAGACCGTTGCCTGGAAACACGAAATAATGACATATTAACATAGCCACATCCGCTGGCAATCCTATTTCATGCCCATCTCTGTGTGCTGCCTCGAGGAAAGGCCTCCCCATTGCACCTCTCCGTCCCTGCAGATGCTTTTTTGCCTCCAAAAGCTAATCCTCTGTGTGTTTGTGTGCAGCTGCTGAAGACGAGGATTACCTGATCCCCGAAAGGTGAGCATGTGGTGGGGGCACCCTGCTCCCTCTCACCCACCGAGGTTTTCGGCAAGGTGATGCTTTTGAGAGCTGTTGCAGAAACAAAGCCCTGGCAGGTGTTGGGGTTTTGGCAGCAGCCTCGCTGTGTGTTTGTGCAGCAAGGGCAGTGCTGCCCCTGCCCTCCGGCTTCAGCCGCCTCCAGATGCCCAGGTGAGAATTTTATGGGGTGGCCACCCAAAACCCTTCACTGGGCGATGTGAGACGGTCAGTTCAGCTTCTGGTGTGGCCATGTATGAAATGGATCAAAAAATCTCAGACACGATTGTTTTGGTGTGCTAGGGGATCCTGGCTTCTTCTGGTATGCCTCTGACTTGTCATGAGGGGTCGTAGGGTGGTCCCAGATCTGTACCAAAGAGATGTTGGTTTGTAGGAAGTGTTCATATACCTATTTTGACAGGTGTATGGACCTATATATATATATGTATGTTGGATGCACGAACATACTGTGAAAATGGGAAACAGAATGGCTGAACTAAAGGAAAAGGAGCCAAATTCTTAACATACCTTCAGCGCCCAAACAATGAGCTCTTGCAGCAAACAATACAGACAGTTGTGCTTCTCACATCGTGAGGTGTTCCTGCCAGGGCGGGCCTGTGTTTTGAGTAACTTTCAGCCTTTACTTGTCAAAGGAGAACTGGTCAAAAAATAACCAGCCCGATAACTGTTATGCACCACAAGGAAGCTGTCCCGGTAGCTCATTATATCAAGATTAGCAATCTTTCTCTCATACTTGTGATATGGCCTTTACAATAGGTCACTTGTTAAATATTAACCATGTTGTAAATGGGGAAACGAATTAATTGCATAACAGCAAATAATGGGAGAAATTTTCCTCCCTGAATCCCAGAGCTGGGAGCCTCACCAGCTCTGAGGGACTGTAAAAAAAAAAACAGTCCCTCAAAGCCCCTGGTGTTATTGCTTGGGGCACCTAATCCTGGGCTCCAGCTCCTTGTTTGGGGATAAACAGGCAGGGATCCACCTGCCCAGCTGTGTTTCAGGTCCAGTGGAGCACTGTTGCTTACCAACCATGGTCTGGTGCCCAGCCAAGCACCAAGGATGTTATTTTACCCCAGGAATGGGGAAGTGAAAGGCCAGGCTTCTTACTGACCAGGAAGTCCTTTGGTGTCAGCACAAGTTTCTGCCCAATTCTAGCTGTCATTTCTCATTCTGACTTCACGGCTGTCCAAACACACCTTGAGCTCTTTGTTCCTGTTGCTGCAGTTTGCAGTGACTACCTGGTTCTTCCTCTGCTGGAGCTCAGTTGTGGCAGCAGGATGATTCAAGGGAAACCAATCCTTCCCTGAGGTTTATTATAGACTTGGTGTTAACAGATCCCGTGCAGTTCTTGCTACACATCTTCCTGATGCTCTCTCACCCAGGGGATTGCCTCGATGGGCACCCAAACAAAAATGAGCCAAGCTTCCCTTCTCCTACTGTTTCCCAGGCAGATGGTGTTGGAAGAGGCTCTTTCCCCCACTCTGTGTTATTATTTTTTTAAAGTTGTTTGTATGAAACAACCTAGCTTTGCCTGAGAGGACTTGTTTCTCTCTGCACCCATTCCCAAATGGCATTAATCTGAATTTCTGCAGGAAGAAAGGGGAAAAGGAGGTTGAGGAGGGTCTGGGCTGGGAATCCGAATATTGAGGCTGTGTGGTGTGGGGTTGGACGCTGCCAGCATGGAGCCCCTCACTTCAGCTCATGAGCAGGACTTTTGTATGTACCCTCTGATACCTGTTTTCGCTTTTTTATTTTTTTTTTCATGTCTGTTTCTGTAAGTGAGAAACAGCTTGCTGAACAATGCAATGGGACTGTTGTTACTATTTAAGTAGTTGCAGTAAGCTTGAAAATTGTTGCACTCAGATTTCCATGGGCTTTTTGTTCCGTTTCTCCTTGAGGTATCACTGTAGGCAGAGGACCATAATCCAAGCACAAAGTCCCCTGATGTGCTTCAAGCTCTGTATCTGCAGCATAATCTCCTAAAGGAAAAGCAAGTGGCAGTGTGGGGTCACGGGGAGGCTCAGCTGAGCCCCGCATTGTGCACAGGTCTCCTTTCCCTCTGAGGAATTCTTGATTTCACTTTGCTTTCTTGTAGGCTCGGTATCAAAGCACTTGAAGTTCTTGTCCTTAAGATGAATACATTTTTATTTTTTTTTTTTCAGACTTCTAAAAAGGCCAGAAAAACACTTTTTCTCTCTTTTCTCTCATCCTCTCAGTGCTCAACTTGAAGAGCAGCATAATTGCGAAGAAACCCTGATGTACCCGAATCAGTCTGGGGACACCACAACCTTGTGTGTCATTGAAGGTACTTTGCAAGACTAGACTGTTAAAGGAATCGCATGTTGTCTGGGACAGCCTTTAAAAAAGGCAATATTATCTCTTCTTCAGCTGAAGAAAACAACAGTTGCACGTTGGTTGGACTGAGCAGATGACTGCCTGTATTGTCTCTCTGCACACTGGCAGGGTATGAGGACTCTGGGGTACTGACCAGAAAATAAGTTAGCATTTTGGTGGTGAGATGCTGCTTACGGTAAAAGTACAGTGGGGAGAATTCAACAGACATTGATCATGTGGAAGGAAAAGGGAAGAAGAGAGTAAAGTAGACCTAAGTGTCATCTTGGCAATGAGGGCTTTCAGTGTAAGGCTCTCTTCTACCTCCTCTTCCATCACTACTTTGTTCCAGTATAATTTTCTCTATGAGATTTGGCAGTGCTGCTTTTTTTTTTTATTATTATTATTAAATATTTGCCACTTGGAGGGGAAATCAGTTTCTTCCTTGTTTGTTGTTTTGCTCCCATTCCAAGGGGAGATTAAAACAACCTCCTTGGGGAGACCCATCAAAACCCTCTTGGGTTTGCCCCAAGGACTGTGAAAATTGTGGCCAGCCTGACTTGATGCTACAGTGCTCAGAACATAAACCAGTGCTAAACAACAAATTCAAGGACCCTGGGCAGTATAACATGGTGAATGTGTGCCTGGATGTTGAGCATATGGGCTAAATTTGGGGATTGCAACTTGAAGTACAGTGATCTAATGTTTACTAAAAACTAATACCTGTTCACAAATATCTTTTCTAGTACCGAAGGTAGAGCCTCAAGAACAGAAGGTAAGTCTCTTCACAGCCTGTTTTGACCTTTCAGGTTCAGCTGTACTGTACATCCAGTGTTTTCCTATCTTAGAAGCTTTTAATATTCATATTTCTTATATGCTGGGTGTTTCTGTATGTTTGTTGTCTGTGAAGACTCTCAAAGAATAAATAAGAAAATGCAGAGGGGACATGAAGATTAATGAGGTTTCCAAATACAGTCGAGGTGAGAGTCAATTCCCTTGACTTCCTCTTCAAACATGTAAGGAAGTGGTAACACCATCTGGACGTTGGTAGGAGACCAAGTAAGTGTCAAGCACCAGCATCAAGATCATAAATTCTTGAAGGCAAAATCCACTGAATTGCTCTGGAAATTCCTGCCAAAGGCAAGGTGGTGCTGGTAATCCCTCTTTGAAGGCATAAAAGCAAAAGTGAGTTAACTTCTTTGTCACAGCAGTGTTCTCTGAGCTTTGGCTCATAAGTGAGGGCAAGGTTTGTGGGAATGACCATACGGGTTCTTGTCCTCTGCTGCAGGGATCCCTGCTGCTATGACCCAACACTTCTCATTGTATCCTGGCTACAAAACTGGTGGCAGCTCACCTTGGCAGGGGAGGCATCCTGCAGGGTGGTGCAGGGAAGGGATTGCTACAGGTGTCCCCAGGGAAGCCCGGCATGGCTGCACAGCAGAGTCTGTAGCTCGTGGTGGGTAACTGGGCTGAGAGAGCAAGTCCCCTCATGGCAGGGAATGACTGGGTGTCAGTTCTGCCTCTGTTAGAAGAGGGAAAACTGCATTTTAGAAAAGGTCAAACTCCATTTTCAAATACTGACTTGCAAAGCAATCAAAATTGTCCAGGAAACAGCGTAGGCTTCCAAATGCACTTCTCTGTGCATGATTTGCAGAGAGGTTCTCTGGCTCATCTGTAGTCTTATTTTATGGAAGGTTGGAAAATCTTTAATAAAAAACCATTCCTCCTTTGCTGTAAGCTCTCCAGCCTGTAATTGCTGTTTTTCTGACCAGTAGCCTCATTGGCCTGATCCCTTGCATTGTTACGTTATTTCTATATAGTTTGTCAATATGTGTATCCCCTGTCCTGCAAGCAGAGGAAACATCCTTGTGTGATGACTATTCCAAACGTGAAATGCTTCTGGGTTCTCTAAAGAAATATTTCTTTAAATGCTAGCTGACAGTTGAGGTCTTGCATAAAAGTTTGACTGCTGCAAAAAGCAGAGTGCCTAAAAGCTTTCCTCTTCTTTATTCTAGAAACAGAAGACTCTTCCCTTTGGCAAATCCAGGTAATTTCCTTTCCATTCTCCCAGGCTGCTTCTAACCCCACAACTAACCTAGGTTAGGGTTACGATATTGTAATGCTCAGGAAATAGAATGAAATTTCATAAATTTCATGACCAGGACAATATAGGTGATCAAGCCCTTCTGCATCAGCACTCAAGGTTTCTCAGCTTCTTTCACTATAAAGAGTTGGTTGAGGGGGTTGTCTCTTTCCACTGACATACACAAGCACACACAAAAATCTTGTTTCCTTACTGAAACTGGAACTCTTTCAGTGTAAGAAAGGAGAGGCACTGAGTTCTCAGACTGGGAAGCCCAGCTCCAGACTGGGAAGTTACAGTTCCAAAAGTGTGGTAAGGCAAGGTCCACACCAAATTTCACCCTGTAAATGGCACATTTCAAACTCCTGGCAGTGTTTAATTACTGTCATTAGCTGAAGTGTTTTGTTGTTGTTTTTTGTTGGTTTGTTTTTTGTGGGAGTTGAAGAAACACATGATGAAATGGTATCACTTCTTTGGGAAATATGATGCTGTGGAAAAAAAGTATTATTGCTGCCTCTGTTGCTGTATCTCCTTCCCTAAATTGCAAAATAATATAGCAAGGGGCAAGTCTCATGAGCCAGGTACCACCTCTGGCAAGTGAATCTAGCTACTCCATTGATATTACTAGAAAAGAATCATCTTAGCTTGTTTTTGTTTTCCAAGTAACCGGTGGCCTTTAGATCTTGGATTTGCCCTGACAGTACCAGTGTTTTTTTATGGCACCTACCCCATTCAAAGGGAAAATGAGCTGCTTATTGTGGCACACTCATAAAGCAACATGTTTGTTGGTGACTTCACTTAAGTGTCTCTTTTCTGAGATCCCTTTCATTTCTGAAACTTTCAGTCCTTGGAGAGATACAATAGAAGATGAAAAAGAGGAAAAACCAGATCTTGAAAGAGTGAAACAGGAACTAAAGAAAATACTCAAGGTATCATATACTTAAGACTGATCTTAATAGCTACTGAAGGTTATTTCTTCTCCTCCTACCATCCTTTTGTTCATGAAACACTTGAAATATTTGATTCTTTAATCACCCGTGTTGTTTTTTTTTGTCTTCTCCTTTGTTTGCCCATTGCCCAACTGGCACTGTCTAAAAGACCTGTAATGCTGCCAAGCAGCATGTACGTCTACCAGAAATCCCTGATGGAAAATAGGTGTGAAACCCTTCTAAGTCCACAGAAGGATAACTTATATTCTTATATATTAACTTATATCAGAAAGCTGTTTCTGAAGGCTGTATCCACTGAACCAGATGTCTGATCTCAGGCAGGTGGAAACGAATACGTATCTCTCAGCAGCCAAACCAGGGAAGATGGTAGAGGTGGGATAAAGGCTCTGCATGTGAAGCAAGATGTGACCAGTACCCAGCCTGCAAAGCATCCTACCCCACAGGGGCTGGCAAAAGACAGAGCAGAGCCCCGTGAGTATCTCATTTGGCTGTTGAGTGTTTCCTCAATCCTCGGTCCCATCTGTTGCCCAAATGTCTCTTCCATATGGGAAAAGACGTTAAAGTTGGATGGAACTCTTGAACCAATTTAGTTAAACCAGGGCAAAAGGTTGCATGCACATTTATACTCTGGTCTGAATCATTTATTTTGGCTTTGCAAATAGCTTCCTAAGTTGGTTAACCATCTGCATAACTCAAACCGAGGTGTTTGTTTTTCTAGCAGATTGCCCTTATCCGAGAGAGCTGAAATCCATCTCCTCTGCTCCAAATAATTTATTGAGTCTCAGAAGAGGGTTTGGCCAGGGCTTGTGGTAGAAACACACGTGAGCAGGATGAGAGCCTGGCGTCTCCCTCTGTCTCCTATTAAGATGGATGACGATTCCTTGCTCTATCCTCTCAGTGGCTCCAGTGAGCCTTCTTGTATGGTTACGGCATCTGACCTTGGGCTCCTCCTCTCAGGGTGCTCTGAGATAGCATCCAGAGCTGGTGACGTGCACCTGAGCTGCAGTTATACCCAGCCATGTCTGCTCTGTAAATGCTACTTTAGCTTCAGGTGTAAGCGTGCATGAGCTATGTTTTGCTAAGCCTCGACCCTGCCCCTGCAAGCCATTAGTGTTTTGTGGCAGGATTTCAGAGGTGCAGGAGAGAAATGCAGCTCTGCTGGGCACTGTGGATAGAACAGGGGTGTGATGGAGAAAGTGCAAATTGGCTGTGGTTGTTATTGGTGTGGTTCTGGGGATTTGTTTCTTTTTAATTTTGAATTACTTCATAGTCATTTTCCGGTTTGGTTGGTGTCTGTTTTTGTAAGTGGTGTTTCTGGTTTGCTTGACCTTTGGATGGCTGGAGGCAAATTCTCATGGGATTTTTTTTTATTTTTATTTTTTTGAAGTACTCATGGTGGACCTCCTGCTCCACCAGAGGGGCTGACTTTGAGAACTGATGTTCCCTCAAGCCCCCTCCTTCTCCTTAAGGAGAGCTGCTCTCTGGGGCCTGAATGTTTTGCAGAAATTTCTGTTGTTAGCTAGAGCATGTTGTGGTGGTACATGCTTCTGGTGAGAGCTCCTGTATGGACCTGTGCTCATTTAGGAATAGTATCTGTTTTGATTTGTGTGGCTGCATTTCTTCTAAATATATTGTTCCAACACTTCTTTTAAATTCATTAAGCATTTAATATTGCCACTGAACAGAGTCCTCCAATAACAATCTGTTTCTAACCTCGTGAGGTGCAGCTCTCATGCTTTGTTTCCATCCCCTGGGGGAAAACACTTCTGGGAGGCTCTCCCTCCTCATCTCCTTTCCAATATGTTGATTTACAGGTGGATTCCTGATGGGCTGGCCCATTAGTTGGGTCTCAGCAGCTCTAGAAGCCATGTTAAGCCTTCCCTTTAACCACACCTGCAAACATCTGTGAATAGTCCCTTGGGAAGTTTTCAGCTGAGGAGGAATTGGCTCAAAGCTGCTACAACTGAGAATACTGATGGATATTTAATTTATTTTTTTTAAACCTAAAATATTTCAAAACTTGAGTTATTTTTTTTTCTAAAGTCTTAAAACTTACACTATTTTAAAGTTCTTCTGAAAGTAGCTCAGAAAAGAGACTTTTCTGGACTCCAACTGCCATCCTCAACAGCTGTCCTTGCCTTGAGAGAAGTCGCTGAGAAAAGCTCCCAAAGCAAAAAATCCTTTCTTGTTTCCAGCAGCCTACATGTATGTTGGTGCTCCAGGACCAGGTGAAGAAGAAACAGCTTTGAGCCAAAATACTCTGCAGACACCAGAGGATGTGTACGATGATGTTGAAGGACTGCAGGATAGACTGTGAGTATGGACAGGGAGGGGCTCATTGCAATGGCTGAAATGAAATGTCTTTGATAAAATAGGCTGCAGTAAACCCCCAAGTAATATTTCTGTCTTGTCTTCTAGCAGCCATGCATCAGACGTCTCGAGTCCATCTGCTTCAGGCAGCAGTAAGTGCAGCACATGGGGTAGCTCAAGCAGGGCTGCTTTTAATTTGGGCTGGTGCCTGGTAGATGACGTGAATACCTTCATTTAACTTTCAACATCTATAGTGTCTCCTCGGGCCCGATTGCTCTCAATTCCCATTAAAAGCAGTGGGGAGCAATACACGTGTCTAGCATGGAATTCATTTGAGCAACTTTGAAGCCTCTGTTAGGGTAACATGTAACGGCCTGGATGCAATTTGTCCAGCAAAACTCACCTCATTGCTACTGAACGTGGTTTGTGATAATGGCATGCCTTGGTTTTAAGTTTCAGGAAGCAACTGCGAAGAAACATATGAAGATGTTGAGATCGGGGGTGATAATCCAGCAAAAGAGGAGTAAGTTGCAATTTATTAGCCTGTATTTCAAACTTGATCTCACATGCCAGGTACTGGCTGCAAGCCTTGTTTTCCTAATGCAACTCCAGGAAAGTTGTTGTATGTGTGGGTTTCTGCCCCCCTTCCTCTGTCTTTCCCCTTTGGCTGACACTTAGGGAACAAAAAACAGTCAACAAAATTAACTCCCTTAGCAGCAAGGCCTTTCTATGAGAGCTTAGAGCATTCTCCATCCACTGGAAGTGCTCCCCTTACGGACCCCTGCTAGCACAAAGTCTTGCTCCCCTCTCGGGCAAAAGCCTTGTTCAGCTATAGCTGCGAAATGGCACCTCTTCGTATGCCCAAGGGACAAATGGGGACACTGTCCCCATAAAAAGGGACAAAATGCTGACATTTCGGATCACAGATAGTTGGAAAGCTGAAAGGAGTCCAGGCTGTGAGCTAAAGCCTGCAGCTGACATGCTCCAAGTTACTTGCAGCCTGCTCTTTTTTTACAGGGCTTCTCATGATGTTTGCTTCCAGAGGGTGTGTTATAAAAGCAATGAGTTTTGCAGCCTCAGGTTTACACACTGCCTGAGCTTCCCAAATGGTGAAACTTGAAGTTAGTTGTGTTTTTACTTATTAGTTTTGTATGGTTCCCTGCCCTTGCAGATTTCCTGCATCCCTTTGTAAGAAATAGAGACAGCCTTTGGGAACGGCATATGGGCTGCGGATGCTGCACACAATTACTTTGAGTGCATCTGGTGGCTCTCTTCTAAGGAGCAGTGTGGGAGGAATAATAAGGTGTTTCTGTACATCTGCTTTTCCCTTATGGATGTGGGACTCATACTGGCGTGCATCTGGATTCAAGTCTAGCTTAGGCATGCATGTAAAGCCTGCCCCTCTCAGAGAGGGGGAAAAAAGTAGAGGAAACTTGAAACCCTGGAAGTGACTGGGCAGTTATTTAGAGGTGATAGCATCGCTTCTCTGCTGATTGTCCACAGGAGTTGTGTGGTGGAGGTGCACAAGTGTCTCCAGCCAGATGTGCTGGTGTCTGCATCCCATCCCTGCAGGGAGCTCCAGCTTTGCTCCTTCCCCATGCCTGTCCTGCACCTCTGTGTACATGGGTGTGCGACAGTAGCAGAAATTAAACTCTTCTAATTCATGGGAAAACAGAGGAGCAGAGCATCTTGCTGGAATTATGTAAAGAATTGTTGCAAAGGAATTATTCAACAGAGCTGGGGCTGTGACCAAATTCAGGGGGTTCAGAGCTCAGTATCTTAACCCCCAAAGCACTCTACAAAACCTTTCTATTGTTCCCCCATGCAGGGCTAGCTATGCTAACACATACATAAGGTATTTTTAATAGCACTTGCGCATGGGTAATATCCCCCATGTGAGGATCTTGGTTCTCTGCAGATAGAGTAATAGAAAATCACTGTAGCTTTGCAGCCTCTCTTAAGCTCCAGAGAGGTGTGTGTGTGCAGTGGAACGCCTTTCTGAAGGGCGTACATGACAGAAATGTGTGATGAAGGGTGGCACAGACCAATCTTCTGGATGTCCTCCTTTAATGTGCGTTGTGTGCCGCTGGGGAATTGTTGTCCCTTTCATCAATTTTTACTCCAAATGCATCTGGATCAGTCTGCAGCTGCTCAGTCAGGGAAGGACAGGGAGGGACTTTGCCCCTTTTGTATTTTAACTGCAGTTAACACAAAAGTTTAAAGCTAGGCAAAAGATTTGAGCTTGGACTTCATAATTAGTCACCTTTCACTGCATCTTTGACTATCTCATTGAAACCATCATTCATCCACATGATGCTATTAAGGATAACGATAAGCTTAAACGATATTGCTGAAGTGAGGCTTAAGGTCTGCTGACTCTCCTCTACCTGCTTTGGGATCTCGGGGGCTCTGAATACTGCACCTCATATACTTCAGTGCCCAGTGACTCTCTAATTTAAAGTCTTTTCTGTTTGGGCAGATCGGAAAGACAAAAGAGATTTGGAAACCTCTTTAAAATAGAAAAATTGAAACTGAATACCAGGTTTAAGGAAAACTTAAGGTAAGGAAACCTTGATTGTCCAGCCCTTTCCCCCTCCAAACCTGAGCAGCTGTATCTGCAACAGTTTGAGATCAGGAGGACTGGAAGTAAGGAGTGAGTACATCTTTACCTGAAAAACAACACTCAGAGTGCTTCTGCCAACTCACTAGGAGCTGTTATGGCAGATGTGGACAGTGGTCTATCTGTGCAACTTCTTTGGCATCAGCAATCTGGAAGAGCTGGTCCTAGAGCAGCATCCAAGTTTTCTCAGGCTTTCTGCTGCCCTCTGTACCTTTCCAATACCTCAGCATGTTGCAGCTGCTCAGGGGAACGCAGAAACACGATACCTGCTGCCTGGACCTGTTAGCCAAAGGCTTGCTGATGTGGCTCCTCAGGATTGAGTGTTTTCTTCCAAATACCATTTGTCGTCAAGCTGGCAACAGCATCTGCTGTTTAGGTTTACTGTTGAGTCTGTAGTCTAACAAGGGAGCAGCAAAAAGAAGAGAGAATATTGTGTAACTTCCTGTAGGAACATACATTTTCAGGCATTCTTATTTGAGTATTTAAAACCCTGGTTAAATGTCCATGGAAAAACTCCAGCTTTTCCCCAGGTGTGCAGTGGCTGCCTGTAGAGCCTGTCCTCCACCTCTGCCAGAGTGTGCCTCACCCTGTGCATGATGTAGGGCCGAGACTGAAAAAAGTTACTTTTTCTTATTATTTTGGAAATTCCAGGTTATTTTCTCTTCATTTCCTCTTTTATCTGAGGAAGGGTGCTCTCTGGATGCACTGTAGACCTTTCACAACAAGTTTTTTGAACACATGGCTCTTGTTGCTGCCAGAGGGTAGAGATGACTAATGAGCAAGGGATGGCATTTTGGCAAAAGCTTTTGGTGTCAGGGATGCCATGCATCCAGAGCTGTCCTGCATTGCCTCAGCAGCAAATATGGCATGCTACTGGCTTGTTAGTGCTCGTGGCTTTTTTGGTGATGCTGATGTGAAAGCCTGCTTCTAAAAGCATCTTTCTCTCCTCAGATTATTTTCCATTTCGGTACCAAATTTAGGTAAGCAACTTGCATGTATCTGGCTCTTGGGAATTTATGCATGCATGAAGAGGAAAATGTATTGCACAATGGAGAATCAACTCTACAAGATTTTCAGATGGGCACAATGTGTAATGTGGCAGTGTTAATTTGAAGGCTTAATATAGGTTTATGCTGCAGTAGAGAGTTGTGGTTTTGTTTATTTTTTGGTAGTTTTGTTTAAAGATCCTGAGGATTTGGATATATCTTGGGAGGCAATGTGGGCTCTCTGCAAAGCTTCATTGCTGATCAGGCATTAACTGCCTGCTGGAGGGACAGGGTTGTGCCTTCTGTAATTGGGATGGGCACACCAACTATTCCCACCATGCAAGGGTGCCAGAGTGAACCCCCCATGTTCTTGGGAAAGAAAACTGCCCACAAACACATCTGGTAGACCCCAGCATCTTGCCTTGTGCTGGAGTTTTGGCCATCTTCTGGAGCTGTGAGGCTCTTCCTTTCGCCTTGCCTTGGCCCCTTTGGGTTGGGTGGCTTACAGCATCCCCATCCTCTTCTGCAATAAACTGTGTTGAGTGCCAGACTTGGAATGACCTTTCCCAATTGTCTCTGCTGCATTTGGGTTACAGCGAATGTCTCCCAGGAGGATATGGTGTATGACGATGTCGAGGCGGGACAGAGAGACCCCAGGTGAGGAGCAGGACCTTCTTCAGGGGATGAACTAGTAGACGGGGCCCTTGGTAGGACACTGGGGACCCTGCCGGGCTGCGAGGCACCAAGGGTCATGAGCTGGGAAGGACCCACTCCTCTGGACACAGTCCAGATGCACTCTGCTTGTGTGTTTAATTTGGCAAGAAACATCCCCCAAAATGTTCCTTTGACGTGACGTAGTTAGTGCCAAAGATGTGAAAAGGGGAGAGCCGCTCGCTGCCGTGCAGCAAAACTCAGATAGTTTTCCTAAGGAAGGAAAAGCCCAGCTCCCAGAGCTGATAATCAGCGCGGTCCTGGCAAGCTCCTTGTCAGAAAAATTACTTTTAATAGGAACAGCATGTCTTGGTGCCTGGCTGCCAGATGATCACAGCGGCAGCGTGTGCTGGTACAAAGCGCAGCACATGCTTGCATCTGGGTGGGAGATGTGGGGGGAGGCAGAGAGGGAAAAATTGTGGCTTTGTACCAACTCGGGTTTGAGGAGGGGACGTGTCCTGCTGCAAAACCTCAATTTGTGTGGCTCTTTCTCCTCCCTCCTCTCAGAGAGAAGGACGACAAGTACAAAACCTGGATGCCAAAATTCCTGATGTCAAGAGACGAGAAGGACCGAAGGAAAAGCAGCGACGACGTGGACAGGTCTTTACTTGCATTAAGTGTTTTTCCTGTGTTGTCTGACTTTGTATGGGGTGTGTCGTGATGCGGTTCTCAAGTCACTTGCAGGAGCAGGATGGCCTTGCTTAAGCAAACATTGGTGTTTGGCTGCTGCTCCAGGGTCCTTCTCCTTTGAACCCAGCTTTTGGAAACTTTATGGAAAGTATTTTGAAGGCAAAACAAATTCCTGGATCTGAGTTGTGTGCAAGTGGAGGATACCTTGAGGGTCTCATCCTGAAGGTGTATGTGGTCTTCCTGCTTAGCTGAGACAAAAAAAGTGTTCCTTGCTATGCATTGGGCTGCTTTTCTGCTGTGCTCAGCCCCATTCCTTCCCTCATCGTGCCTTGATTAAATATTTCATCTCCATAGATCAGCTGTTGCTCTTTTGGCAAGACCATTGTTTTTGAAGACCCACACACAGTATCCTGTGTGTTCCCCTTGCCCTTAAAGTATTGATTTCTTTTTTTTTTTTTTCCCCATCAATGTTTATAACATTGACTCTTGCTGTACCATTTGCGCACGTAAAATTGAAGATAAAACTTTGTTACCAGTGCTGCAAAACCTCACATGGAAGCAGGCAATTTCATTTCCCTTTTAGATCAGAAAAACATGAGCTGCAATGAGCTTTCTATGGCCCAGCCCCTGCGACTTCAAACAAATGGAAATCAGTGATATACTTTCTGGGTTCCTACCACAGAGTTCCTGCATGGGGTTGCTAAAGCACTGCTTGTTGTGTTGTGCGAAGTCATGTGCATAATTGTAGGGAATATCAGGAAGCTGATGCGATTTCATCTGCTCCTTAGAGAGCACAGCTCCTGTGAGTGGAGTCTGCCAATGACAAATTTCTTAACAGTTTAGAAGTCCTTAATTTCAGCTCTTGTTTCCCCTTCCTCTTAAAATTAAAAGCATGAAAATTAGCCAACTGTGAATAATTTATTGCAAGCGTTGCGTTTTTTCTTTTTTCCCCCACCATCTTAATTTTAAAATGAATGTCACAGCTATAATCCCACATATAAACCAGAAAGAGTGGCATCTCCTTTGCTCCCCTTGACTTGGTTGTAAGAGCTTGTTTTTCATTTTATAGTGCCATATAAACTTTTGCTTTGGTGACGTTCTCCTCCATGTGCTAAAAAGGCAACACGAACCTGCAGGGCTGTGTTGAGCCCTTCTTTCATTAACGGCTCACGATAAAAATTACCTGGGGACCCTTTTTTTTGAATATAAATAAAAACAGGAGCTAAATTGCTGGGGGAAAAGTCAACTGTCTTCTACAAAACCACAATTGATTTGAAACCCTTGATAAAGTGCTAATTTGTTCTCCTGCCGTTTACAGCGAGAATACTTGTTCCAAATGGAGATACCAAATGGCTCAAATTATGCTCACCAATAAATTTGAGTTGCATGTTCATCCATTTATGAAAACAGCAAAATGAACGGTGTGCTTTGGTCTTGATAGAGTTCATTGCAGACAAACCTGGAGCAAGGCTCTGGGTTGCATTTCCTGCTGTCTCCCAGTGCCAGAGGATACCAAAACGATGCTCAGAATGTATGTTTCTCTTGGTGCAGAAGTATCCTCAAAATCAGGAAGAACAGTGCAGAAAAAAGCAAGAAGATGGAAAAAGAAGAGAAGATTTTTAGAGAAACGTTTCTGGTATGTGAGTCTTTTTAGAGCTGTATCTGTGCCATAGGAGGAAAGCAGGTATGTGTCATGTTTAAGAGTTGTACAGTGAGAAGTTTTTGGTTCTTTGCTATGCTGGGAGAGAAACCCACCTGGCCTGCTGTGTTCTCCCCTCATCCAACATCTCCATCAGGGATGTTGTTGGGCTTTTCCCCCCTCTCCAGCCCCAAACAAAACCTCACAACCTATCCCCTCCCTCTCTCCCCACTGCCCTTGAAGACATTGCACACACCTGTAGGACGATGTGTGCTTTCATTTCCTTCCTGCAGTACGACAAGGAGATCAGTGTCATCAACACCGCGACTGCCGAGTGCTCCGTCCCCAGTAAGAGGAGAGCTGATCTCCCGCTCACAGCTGGCGAGCAGCTGGATGTGATCGATGTCACAGAGGGCAATGCAGTGATATGCCGCAACTCGGAGGGCAGATGTAAGTTTGCAGAAACTTTCTAGTATGAGGGGTCATCTTTCAATCTAGTTTTAAGGAGCAAATTGGTTTATCAAATATTATGTGCTTATGTGCATAGTATTTGCTCAGGAGTTTACTGATTTGCTTATTTTTTTTCCCCTTTTCTCAGATGGGTATGTTCTAGTGGAGCATTTAAACTTCAGGTAAATTTGGGTTTTATTTATTGTGATGTATGTTTTCTTCTCCCTCTATGTGGATATTTGAGATCTAGAGAATCGTGCTTTAAACTTCCAAAGCCAAGGGATGACTAATGTGAACAGATGCTATTAAATATTTCTTATTTGAGTCTGCTATTAGTTACCCGGGTCCAGTCCAAATGCAGCTAAAAAAAAATGCTTGTCCAGTCATGAGCTGTATAAACTGGAAATTCTTGACTGCCTTCAGCTATGCCATATTAATTCATATCTGCTTCAAACTAGGCCCACTCTGTGTGCATTGCCCTTCCAAAACACATCCTTAAACCCCCTACTGCGACAGCATTTCTTTGCATGCCCCATTGTAATTGCTACAAATGAACCTCCTATTGCCAATGTGTCTGTTGCTGTGAAATTCTCTTCTTTTACAGGCACTACTAACCTCCCCGGAGCATCCCTGCGGCGCCCTTCTGAGCTTCATGGGCCTGTGAGAGCCCACATTTGTCAGTGGTGTAGACCTGATACACATGTAAATAAAGTTGTTTGTTTTTTTTACACTTGTAAACATGCAAGAGACTTTTTCATTTTTTGTCTATTTTGAATGAGTTCACTGACTTCTCTGAACTTTAGCTATTTTCAGGGTTTCTTACTTTCTGGAGTACCTCCTTGTTCAGCTCTGGAGTGGCTTACATTTCTGCACTGCAAAAAGCTTATGCAGAAAACAGAAATGTAATTACTCCACATCCATTCACTACTGTCCATCTTAGGGGCTGGAGCTGCAAAGTTTCCATAAAGATTTGTTCCTCTAAAAATCAAATCATATAAATTTTTGGTCTTGATAGAAGTATTGGGACAAGTATTTACTGCATTCTTGCTAGGTTCAGTATATAAAACAGTGGAAAAGTTGACTCATTCCTTTCAAATAATAAAAAATACATACATTTTAAAAAGTAAATAAAGCTTTCAGTAAAAATTTACTTTATTTTTGCAAGCTAACTCAGGCATCCAAGATATGTAAAGGCTGCCTTTTGGCTTCCCCCACTGCTTAGCAGCAGGTACTTACCCAACAGTTGTCCCTGTGTTTGGGCTGTGAGAGCTGAGTGCTTATTTTAAGAAAAATGCTCCTAAAAGTAGGAGGAGAAATATAAATTGCCACTGGCTTCTCCTTAGCATATCCAGTGGCTGGGTACCTTTTCAACACACAAAAAATGTGGACTCTGATTTTGTGTTCCCGGGTCTGGCAGAAACAAACTTGACTATTGCTGTGCAGCCCCCACCCCTCCCCAGCGCTGTATCAGTGCGCTCATAAATAATCCTAAAAATGTAGATGGCTTAATTAGAAATTATTAAATGTTCCAGGCTTATGAAAACACAGCAAAATAAAAACACTATTTGCCACAGGGCCATTTGAAAACTGGCATCGAAAAGATCAGAAAAACAGAGCAAATATTTAACATTTACTTTAAAGTCTATACAGGCATTCTTATTTATTTTACCATGTGGTTACTATTAAGTGTGTTGGCCAGCATCCACCCTGGAAAAAAAAAAAGACCAACAAAATAAAACCCCAACCCCCTTCAAGCATGCGCAGCTCTTCAGGCTTGCCAGCCCAAATATTTAGACTTCTCTAGCAGAGATGGAGAGCTGGGGAGCTAGAGTGCGTACTTGGCTGCAGAGCAGCCAGGGACATGTGTCCTTCACCCCCAGACTTCCTGGGGAACGAACCCGATAGAGGCCATGGAGATGCTAACTTACCTTTAGGCTCTCTTGTATGGCGATATTTAGGAGTGATCCCATCAGGAAAACACCTTCCTCATGACTGCTTCCTCCCCATCCCAAACTAGCTCAGAAGGCCTCACCTGTTAACAATGCACCCAGCGGATGCGATAGGCGAGTCTTGCATTAGCGGCACGTGCAAATTCTCTTTTGTCGAGGTGAAGCACAAAGGGCTGTGCTGGTGCTGGCTGCAGCGAGCAGCTTGGATAATGCACGGAAGCCTTGCAACGCACTTAAACTATTTTTCTTCATGGCCAGGTTCCAACACGTACACAGAGGGAAAGTGCCTGATTAGGATTGACTTAAGACAATACCAAATGCTTTACATACAGCACCTTAGATAAGATTTCCTCAATTAAACCACAGATTGGCTATACTTAGGTCAAGATACTGTTTAGGAAATTGAAGTTTTCCTTTTTTTTTTTTTTTTTTTTATTAATAGCCTTGCTGGTATATCCTGAACGAATCAAAACTTAGAAAAAATTAGCATGTAGATTTCAAACCCACATTTCTTTTCAATATGGAAATCACTGTGTTAACATTTCTGATCTGCTGAATATGAGGGAGAACTAGAATTTCTTAAAGCCAGTTCTATCACAGAAATTGTGATTAAAGGAGACTGCAGATAGGGATGAAGCTGGAGCGCTCACTGCAGCTTTGTGCTTTATAATTGAATTTACGTCCCTCTGTATCGCAGGCATACATGAACTAGCCCCCAGTTTCTTATCCAAACTCTTATTTTTTTCAAAATATCTTTAAAATATTTGTTTCTGTTCTTTTGCATAAGAAGTCAAGATCTGATTCAGTACAGGTCCATCAGCTCCACTAGATACATGTTAAAATGGGAGAAAAAATTGTGGGCCTGGCTTATGGTGTGCATTCTGGGTTGGGGAAGCCAGTTTTGTTACACACTCAGATATCTTAACTCTTCCCTGCCCCTTCACCCAGACAGTAAGTTTTAAGGATTTGTTGCTATTGTTTTTGTTTGTTTTTTTTTGTCTCTGAGTTTATTAAAGTGCAAATGTCAACCATGGAAACAGCTATCACATGCAGTGCAGTACACTGAGAACCACTTTCCACACCATCAACAGAAGGTAAAAGGCTTCTTTGTGATTACCTAATGCACAGTTACTTGCACAAAGGCCAAAACTGAACCCAAACTCTGTGCCCTTCCACAAAGACTATACCTAGAAATAAATCTCAATTTCAATGAACCAGTCAACACAACCTTCCCAATCAGTTGACAAAGTACATAATGTCAAGAAGGATGGAGTAGTCATAGAACTCCGTATTCTCTTCTGAGCTTCATGTTAATTATATATTGGAAGAGATGCTTATACTCAGAGGTTTTTAAAATTCAGCATCTTAACAGAAGAAAAATCATAAATATTCTTTATAATCCAAACAAAACCTTGCTATGGGCTAGTCTGGTTCCTATCTCAGAGGTGAGGATTGTCTGCCCAGAGATGCTGGGCCATGGGTACTACAGTTGTCCTGGGATTCAGTTTTGCTTTGCACTCTAAAAGAAAAAAACAAATGCATTGAGGTACAAAACACATGAATATAACATGATACAGAACACATGAACATGCTTTCAGCAACAAGAATAAATGTTACCACGTCTACAGTATCTACTTCACAGCTTCGTGAGATGAGGATAAATAAACTATTTCAAAACTTGGATAAAAAAAAAAAACTTAGAGATGAGTCTTACAAATATATTTTTTTTAAATTAAGGCAGCTTCAGCAAGAATTTCAAGGCTTTTTGTTGGAAACAGACTGTTTCTGTAACACTAAACATGCTTTGAATCCATAGTTCTGACTGACTGTCTAATTTTGATGCTTAAAACTAGCAAAGATAAGTGCATTACGTATGTGCAGCATCAGTTCTGCTGCAAAAGTCAGTGTTTGGTCAACAGGAATAATGTATGAGTTCTGAAAATCAGTTCATCTTTCAGGCATGGAGAGAGAAACCTCTGAATGAACCTTTAAATCCATGTCCCAAGAGGCAGACTGGAAATTCAGAATTATAGGAAGCTGTTGCCTTTTTGTAAGTAAATGGTGAAGAGAAATCAATGAGGGAAGGACTCAGGAAGCCTATGGAAAGCACGAAGTGGAGAGCCCATATCAAAGTAAGACCTTAAGAAAGGTGGCTGTAAATAGTTGCACAAAAATGAATCCTAAAACTTTAGAATACAACAATACAGAAGCTGGAGCAGGGATTTGTTTGGCTCACCTGAAGGGACGGATGTGAGATTCTTCCCCCCATCCCTCTCTGAACCAATACAAAAACAAAAACAAAAAAAACCTGCACAACAAATGATACTTCAAGTTTTCAGGAACATGGCCTGCATGTCTCACCGGTATGATTCTGCGTGAGCTGCGAGATTTGTGCACCTCGGGAAATAAAGCTGCAGTTTCCAGCAGTCCTAATGTGTGTTGAAGGCACGATTTCATGTCCTGTGCTAGGGTCTCTCTTCCTTCTACATGGGTGCACAAAAGACTGATGGTAAAGAGCAGTAAAATGAAACGGAGTAGACAGAACGGTTACTTTGTTCAGACTTCATCTATTCTGATATGATTTGGCATTGTAATCACACAAAAAAAATGTATATACAACAGATACGAACCAGTTGCTTCATTTTTTACACCACTGCCCACATCCCTGTGCTTGTACACACCTTCTGAAAAGCTGAACTCGACACACATGCTGCATGTGCACTTCTAACTTATTAAACTAAAACCTCCCGCTGCCTTTGCCTGATTAGCTCCAACTCCTGAGAACCAAACTGCCCCTACCCATATAATATACACATATATATGTTTGCCAACTAGTACATTACAAGCTATTTCTGAATTAACTCACCCAGGAGCTGGAGGTTAATGCTGGAGCCTAACTGACCTCTGCATGGTGTCTCTCTCCCGGCTGGGCTGAAGCAATGTTCGGGTGAATCTGTGGCTTGCAAAGCACAGCTGTCCAGTGGCTTATGAAGAATTGCACTTGGAGGAATTCAAGTTTGTTTAGTTCAAATACATCTACCCTGCTTTTCCTAATAGTCGTGCATGTACCAGTATAACTCAAACATCAGACCACAGTGTAACAGTGTAAAAGTTAAACTTTGCCTCCAGAAAGCATAACTGGAGGTCAGTAGTTTCTTCGCTTCTGGGAACCAGAAAACAGCCTATTCGAGGGTTAAAAAAATTAAAAATAAAAATGATGAATCTTCTCAGAACATCTCCAAATGCAGCATGGATTTAGGTAAGGCTGTTTAATGGAGAGTTTCATCTCATCTGTTCGCTGAGGAGGTCCTTCCACCAGCTCTGGGCTGGAGCTCTACGTGCTAACCACCTTGACCTACTTGCTTCAATGCCTCTGCTGAAAGTAGCTTCGTCTCTTTGCTTTTCTCCATATGGAAACCTGAGACACTCTTGTTGCCTTTTTGGCAGGACTGGTGTTGCAGACCCATACATTTAGTTAATGTTTGCATGGGTCTGAGAAGATGCGAAGTGCCACAAGGTCTTATCCTACCAGCTAGAAATCCCACGTGCCTCCAGGAAGCAAGTATTGCTTCCTTAGGGAACGTGCTGCTGCTTAGCACTACTAGTCCTGCTGGATAGGAAATCCCAGAGGACAAGTGTAAGGCGAGACATCAGTACATCTACACACCTCTGAACTACAGATTACATCTAATGCACGAGCCCATTATCAGCTGGGCCACAGTTGTTTCCAGGACAAGTGCCTTGGCAAGATGCTAAATTGTGAGTGATGACTTAAACAGCCTCTTACATTTCAAATATACTTCACAGCAGGGACACGGAGATTCCTAATTGTTTCCTAGATGGGAATTCCTGTCTGTTCCTGCAGCCACTTGGCCACCCTGTCCTGCTCCTTTCTGAGGAGCTTATCTCCAGCACCTAAAACATCCAGGTCTCTTTGCCTAACATTTACTGGCATCTCAGCACTGATCCAAAAGCTCCTAAGGAGCAACATGCTGGCCAGATTTGGCTCTAGGGCTTTTTCTTTTGTTTTGTTTTGTATGAAGGCTTCTGTATTCTCTGTTCTTTCTTATACTGGAGCACAGGAGATATGCATCACCTGATAGCCACCAGGCACACTGTCAAAGCCATCCCTCACCCCAGAGTATTTTATTTCATAAGGATAATATAATAAAAGCTTATTACAAAACCTAGGAGTACTACAAATATTTCCAGTGTTTCCTTTAAAAACAAAATTGTTCTGCTGTCAGGTTTGTAATCCAAACACTGCCGTGTTGGATTCTGCATATGAGAACTTAACAGCAAAACGGATGGGTTTTTGGCAGCTTTCTACTTTGTGCGGCTTCTGGAAAAAACAGAGCTGGAAATTCACACTAGTGAGAATCAAAATGTAATCTGTAACAAAAGTAAGGCAATTTTGTGTTTGTTAAAAAAAGGGACTTCAAGTTGAAAACGTCCACTTAACTGCCAGTAGATGGCAAAAATATCCTGTATTTGTCTTCATTACCTAAAATGATTAGTACAAAAGGCTGAACGTGTCTTTCTCTTCCTTGCTTCTCGTAGAAACTTTCAGAAAGTATAAATTAAAGTGCAACTGTACAAAAAAAACAATTCCTAGCAAAAACCATCTAGGGTCATAAGAAGCTATCAAAAAAATTGTTTTGTTTTGTTTTTTTTAACATCAAACGACCAAATTCCTGGGACCAGTAACATTGGTTCTCCTTTGTTTTCTTAAAACAAAACAAAAAAAAAGTATGAAAAAAAAAAAAAACACCCAGGATTTTTTGGCAAACTTTTCATAAAGCATTTGTCCCTTGACTGATTAGCCTATTATGTTCCTTCGCAATCAAGTAAATGGAATTAAATACCATAGCAAAGCCAAGCAGATGCCAACGCTGTCCATGAGATTAAGCCTACGCGATGAGAAGTAGTAACTCTTTTAAACAAAGAAGTCGTCACACGTGCACTAGACTTTACCCTCAAATAACAAGAATTTTAACCTTAAAAATCCCCACAGTTTGTCTGAAAGTATAAAATCCTATCCTTCAGATAGTAAAGGAACAGTGAAATGTTCAAGATATCCCTGCCTTCTCCGTGGAGCGGCGAGGTCCCAGCCCCTTCAGCATCAGGACAGCAGAGCTCTTTGTTCTCAGATCCTCCGGTGGGCGAAGGCAGGCGGCTTTGGCAGAGGTTTTGGGGTGGTGACGATGGCCAAAAGCTTCCTACGGGAAAGGTGAGAGGTAAATGTGCCAGGGCCATGCTGCTGGCTCTCGAGTGTGCAGGGAAGCTCCCCCTCCACGAGAATATTGAGGACAAAGTGCTGGATTTGGGGGGGCTCGGGAGCATCCTGTCCCACATCTGCAATGGGAGCTTTGCACATCCCACCCCTCACCCTTCTTTAGTAGGGGAAAAAGAACACAGGGTAGAAGTGCTCCTGCTGCAGGAGCACTTCAGCAGCTGCTGGATTTAGGAGAAAAGCATTGCCAGAGGCTCACATCCTCCCCCTGCTTGGAGCAGCACCGGGGTTTCGACATGAACCTCGCTGCACACTGTGTGTGTCGTAGAAAGAGATGCTTGGCCACAGCTCTGTAAATTCAGGATCAACCAGGAGGAAGGTGTCTACCAAAAAGTCAGTGATATGTTTGCTACTTTAAAGCCATGCCCATGTTTCCCATTTGGTTCACAAGGAAAAGTTCACTGTATACATTTCACCCAGGTCTAATGAGTGAAATTAAGTTATTCCTGATTTCCTCAATGCCTTGTTAGAGGGGACTGGATCCTTTGAGAGTACAAAGGAGTACATTTTGGATCTTTTAAAAAAGGAATTGGTTCTGTGTCGCAGGCTATGGAGCGGTGAGGAGGACGAAGGAAGAAGAAGAAAGAAGGAACGGCCACGTCAGACCCGATCCTCACAGTGCGATACCGTGTGCTGGGGGAGCGGTGCCTGGCTCAGCGAGCCAGAGCCATGATCAGGCTGGCGCACATCTCGAAGAAGTCCATGGTGTGGCTGCCCAGGCGCGGGGGCACCGAGGGGATGCTGCCCACGAAGGAGCCGCTCAGGGACCCCATCAGCGACTGGCACTCGGTGGCTGCTGCGGCATCAATGCTCAGTCTCGGCCGGTGCAAGCCTGCAGCAGAGCACGAGCGCTGTGGGGTGGATGAGCCAGACCTCTGTTCCATCACCTCGTCTTCAAGGAGGGGAAAAAAAAAAGGGCAAGAAAAAATAAAACACAGCATTAGTTTGGCATCCCTAACATGTTTGCTAAGGAACTAGTAATAGTAGTGGAGACGAATGGATCAGAAGGGCTTTAGGAGTTAGACTCTGATCCTTGTGGGCCCCTTCCAACTTCAGTATTCTATGATTACAATTCTAACTGAACAGCACTGTGTGCTACAAAAGCATTCAGGAATGGAAAGAATGATTATTTTTCTTCCAAACCACCAAACTTGCCATTTTGTATGTTTTACATCTCAAGTTGCACCATTTCCCACTCACCATCAATGCTTTTGAAGTCCAGGAGATAGCTGCGGTTGTCCACCTGGTAGAGCTGCAGACTCATTTTCACGTAGTTGCCCGTCACCGGGTTCTTTCTGCGCACTCTGAGATGGTAGGAGTTCACCACCTGCAACATGCAACTGGCTTTAAGGAATACCATTCAAGGAAGCATGAAGAATCCTTATTTTTTTCCTAAATACTAGCAAGACACCTTTTGAGGTAAATAAAACCAACGCAACATTTCTGAAAAGACTAATTATTTTAAAATAAGCAAATGGCTTCATAACCTATTTCCTCTTAGAAGTTGTTTTTAAAAATGCTTCTTGGGGCTTTGATTCACCATCCCTGCTGGCAAACAAAGCCTTTGCAGCCTGTCTGCCAGGCACCAAGCTGACATTGTTGCTCCCTCAACAGCAGCAATGGCCAAATGAGCCACAAGGCCACTCGCACACCCGCATACGAGGACTGTGCCTGGGAAAACCGGGCAGGCTGGATGGTGGGGACCAATAATCTCTCCCATCAGCACAGCTAAACTCAGTGTTCGTGAATCAGTCTTGAGCCGTGCTACGCATTTTCTCTTGCCACTTCCCACCCTACAATCTGCTGCATCTCATTTGCAATGAGATCTTTTCTCTATGCTATATTTACGAAGCGATTGCATGGATGGGAGAGCTATTTTGACTAAGAGCCACAGCTGAAGTTATTCTTAGGGTGGAAAGGACTATTGTGAAACCTCCTCGTACAAAAAAAGCTCCACTGCCTACATAAAGGCGTTTGCCTGAGTCGCTTCACAAAGCTACACCAGAAATACATTAGGTTTGTTAGCTTTCCTCAAAACTGCGCAGCTAAAAAATGTCTGGCTGTTGTAGGCATGTGCATCTGGAGACAGTCCATCTCTTCATTGGTGCCATGAAATCAGGCTTCCGGGCGCTACTTAGCTTTAAATACGTAACAATATTATCAAAATAAGGAGGAGATACGAGGCTTTGATGAAAGCCTGGGATCCAGCTGGGATGCAGCTACCAAACACAAACAGCATTTCCTGCAGGCAGATGCTGGCTACTGAGCGAGATGAAGGAAGGTGTGCCAGCATGCTTGAAGGAACAAAGTTGCATGGGCACAAAACTTGGGCATTTTCCAAGTGCTGAAGTGTGACATTCAACCTGCAAAAACCTCTGAACCTGGACTGAGAAGAGTATTGACTCTGATGATGAAGATCTGGGCAGAAATTCTCCTATCTTGGTCCTGATGCTTGTACAAGGCTGCAGCAAAAGGCCGGAAGAGCCCACACCCACAACTGTAATGAGTTTTAAGAAGTTGGACCCTGTAGCCATAGTGAGGACTCGCTCATGGGTTTACTCATCCGAACATGAAAAAGATTGTGACCAAATGCTGCGTACCTCTACTGAAATATCTGAAGCAAATATTATCAACTAAAACGTCATCTGGGTTTAAATCAGGCTTCAAGAAGCTCAGCCCTCAACCATGGAAGCAATGTCTGGAAGCACATCTGGACACTGCTCTGGCTCTGTCAAGGAAAATGCCACCACATCAATAATATAAACAGCTTCAGCGTGGCTTCTGCCCCCCAAACACCCCAGCATCTCATCTGGGCCTCTTCTATGATGTAGCAGGTTTACAGGGCAAGGTTTTGGTAGTGGGGGGGGCTGCATGGTCCCACATGGAGCAGATCTCCATGCTGCAGCCCATGGAGGAGCCCCCGGTGGAGCAGGCGGATGTGGCCTGGAGGAGGCTGCGGCCCATGGAGAGCCCCCGCAGGAGCAGGCCCTGGGCCAGAGCTGCAGCCCGTGGAGAGGAGCCCACGCAGGAGCAGGGGGCTGGGGGGAGCTGCTGTCCGTGGGGGACCCGTGCTGGAGCAGTTTGCTCCTGAGGGATGGACCTCATGGTTCCTGAAGTGCTGATGCCTCTGGGCAGCCCCCACAGGATCAGTCCAGGAAGGACGGCATCCTGTGGGAGGGACCCCATGTGAAGGAGCAGCGGAGACTGATGGCAGCCCCCATTCCCTGTTCCCCTGCACACTTGGGGGGAGGAGGTAGATGAGGGTGGATGGGGAGAAGGTGTTTTTAGCTTGTTTTTAGTTCGAACTGCTCTAGTCTGTTAGTAAAACGCAATAAATTACATTAATCTCTGTACACTGAGTCTCTTTTGCTTGTGACAGTAATTGGTGAGTGCTCTCCTTGTCCTTACTTATACCCATGAGCTTTTTTCATCGTATTTTCTCTCCCTGTTCTTTTGAAGAAAAGGGAGTGAGAGAGGAGTGTGGTGGAGCTTAGCTGCCCATCAGTGTGAAATCACCACATAAGAAGGAATAAGGGAACACGTATCGTGCTATTTCAGGACACGTGGCTGCAATGGCCCAAGCAGAAATAATGGGACTTGCTTTTCTTGGGAGCACTCGAGATGACCTCGCAAGGAATTAGCCACTAAAATTAGAAATGTAACCAGCTCCTCTTATCCCCACAGCTAAACAAGGCAGAATTATCTTTCCAGCCAGAGGCTTAGGGCATTCAGGGAGAAAATGCTTATTTCATGCCATAAATAAATGGCATGGATACTGAGCCACAGCCAGCATCTTCACACAGTGTGTTGGTATAAATAAGCACTAGCAGGGATGATCACAAGGTGCGGGTATTTGTTTGGAAACAGGTGAGACTGACACCACACTTTTACTAACATTGTTGATCAACTCGGGTCATAAGAAAATAACCCTTGAAAACCTCCCCACAACATATTTCCTACCTTCCACTCAAAATCCAGCTGTTTCATAGCGCGGTACACCTCGGCCATAATGTCATAGGGCTTGCTCTGGCTGCGGATCCCCAGATGCCACTTGGCCTTTTTGACAGTCAGGGGTTTGGGCTTTGTGGTGTTGAGTGCATCCAAAGGGCACCGTGCCTTGGGGCTGTCCGCTATCAAAGGTGGCATCCGCTCGGGGTGCGGCTTCACGCCAGGAGGGATGTGCATGGTGCTGTCATCCATGAAGGAGCCAGTGGGGGGACTGGAGGCGAGGTAGAACTCGCTGGCTTGGTTCATGATCCTCCGGTTGTCGATGACAAGGTGGTAGGCGACTGCCAGCTGGTCCTGCGGGTCACCACTGTACAGGCTGTTCATCACCTCTGACTCCGTGCATTCAAATTTCTCACAGACCTCCCGAACTGCGTCGTCGTCAATGACGGTGGCGTCGTAGGAAGGGTCCTCTGGGAAGAGGTAACTGGGCAGCTCTTCCTTAAACCATTCGTGTTCCCTGGGGAAAGACAGAGAGGTGCCACTGTCAGCTCTGGGCAAGCACTGATGCTGCTTTGGTGAGGAACTGGCAATTTTTTGCACAGGAGAGGAGATGAAGAAAATGAGCTCTCTGGCACAGGGGTGGGATGAGAAATTGGGTGGTCAAACTAGGACTAATCCTCAGACACAGAAAGGGGAGCTGGACCTGGTCCTGGTCCTGCATGGTTCCCCCAGCATTGCAGCACTGCGGACACACAGCTGCTTGCTCACCTGCCTCTGCAGCAAGAGGCAGCACTTAAAAGACACTCATGCTTTTTCATTCCCATTGGTCTGATAGAGATGCTGAGACTCAGAGCTACCCAGGCCCCCAATTCCCATGGACTTACAATGAAGTCGATGATAATTAAGTGGGTAAAAGCCACAGAGAGCCTTGGTGCCATGTACCAACTGTAATCTTACCATGTGTGCTGCAGCTCTAACATGTAATTAAATCCTCCAGTCTTAAGGACTCAAGAGATAAAAAAGGCGTTTATGATCGGAATTTTACTGGAATGGTTAAATTACAGCCATCAATTGCAAAAATATATCAAAAAATAGGAAGTCCTGAAAGTGTCTGTAACATTTATGTATGTGCTTAGTGTACCAGCTACATGTAACAGCTACCATAAATTTCATAAAATGTACATATTGGGCTCAACTTTTACAAAACTTTTTTAAAATTACTGAAGTCCTGTTTGTAGTCATGAACTTTTTATATCTGAAGGCTCAAATATCTGCTTAAGAGCCCACTTGTTCCCTTTACCTTGAAAACCCACAGTGATGCATGCCGGCAAAGGCTCATGAGCAGTACAGTCATTGACTACACAAGAAAAGGACGCTGCATTTAAAGATAAACCATTTGCTCACATTTTAAGCTATATCTGATATTTTAAGATTAATTTAGTAATTCTTGTGTTCCTCTTAATTTTTTATTGAATGGACATTAAATACATTGACTACCCTTTTATTCTGAACGGGTATCCTGAGGGATAGGTTCTTAAAATAAAATACTGAAAAATGGTTGATGAGTATTAAGTTCTTAGGATTATTGTGTTATAAACATGGTTTTCCTAAAAACTTTTAAGACATTTTGGAGGCTATTTTTATCATGCAATAACACAGCATTACATATATGGAAATGTATACATATATATAAATTATATACATGTGTACACACACACACACACACACATATATATAAAACTGCTGGAAGTTACCTATTGCCCTTTTTTCACATGCATTGGTGAAGCCACTGAGAAACAAAGTCACCACCCCAGGTTCATCATCACCCACCTCTCCATCAGCACAGAACACTGCAGGAGGGTTCCAAAATTAAATCCCTCAGGACAAAACCCAGCTGGATTAACTGACTACTCCTGTAAAGCACGCTGTGGGCTGACCTGATGTCCTTGATGGTTGCTCGCTTGAGGGGGTCAACCTGCAGCATGTGCATGAGCAGCGTGGCAACAGAGCGGTTGAGGTACTCGGGGATGTAAAACACACCTCCCCGGATCTTCTTGAAGAGCGTGGGGACGTGCTCGTCATCGAAGGGCAGCGTGCCGCAGAGAAGGGCGTAGAGGATAACGCCACAGCTCCAGATGTCCACCTCCGGGCCGGCGTACAGCCTGCACAAAGACAAGGGCAGGAGAAACGGGGTCACCCCTCTGCCCACCTCCCACTCTGCTCTCATTCCCTGGACCCAGCTGCCTTAAAAACCTGTCTAAGTCCAAAACCACACAAGGGTGATAGGCAATGACCTGCAGAGCTGGTGCTGGCTGACCACGTTCCTCCATGGCGTAAGGAACAGGTATGTGAGTGTCTCCCCCAGACCTATGGAAAAGCCAAAACCCGCATTTCCAGGAGCTCTGCCAGGCTGCTTGTTCCTTTGCCCCCAGGGCCGGGCAACTCAGCCAGCAATTTCTATTCATTCAGAGAGGCAGATTAAGTGGCAGTAGATACTATATCTCTTGAGTGTTTATTTTCAGTTGAAGTTTGTGTGCTGGTATGCAAGAGCTCCTGCTTCCGACAAGCTGCTAATGTGCTCCCTGGCATCACCACGTCAGGACACCCCAAATATATGGGTTTTGCTCCTGCTCGATTTGTTTGTTGCTTTTTGCTACAACTGATGCTTTCTTAGAGACTCTGGGAGGCAGTGCTACCCTGGGGCTGAAAAATCAAAATGGACAGGGGGAAATGGAAAGACAGAGGTCCGTTCATGAAACCTAATCATCCTGCACTTGCTGCTCTGAAAAGCTCTGCTGCAGCTACACCTGGTCAAAAAAAAAAAAAAAAAAAAGCACCGGTCGTGTATGCTGTCATTCTCTGAATGCTACCAGAGCACCAAAACACTGCCTTTGCTTCCAAGTGTGAGACTTTCCCCACTGAGTCCAGCAGCGAAGTTAGGGCATTTTGAAAATGCACTTATCAGTTCGCCACCCCCTGGTCCTGCCGCTGCGTGCCAGCTTTCAGTAGATAGGAGGCCGGATTGTTTGGCTGGTAGCCTCATTGTTTGAACAGTGGTTGGATTTTTAATACCAAATGAGCCATCCTTCAGTTACGCTGAAATCCAAGGTCTCACATTCTGGACCTGCCAAGGCAGCAGAGCCCTGGAAGCAGCTCACCTCCTCCAGCCTGCCATACCCACCCCCAGAGGTATATTTACCCCCTGGCAGAAACGGCAGATCATTCCTCTCCCCCACAAACACAGCTCTCGTATGCTGTTACAGATTTGAGGAAAGGGCAGCTTGGCACATAATTCAAGGGTATAAATCACAGGAGTCACCGCACTGATGCTGTGAGCGGTACTGATGCGGGACGGCTGCAGGAAACACTGTGGTTGGTGAAAAAGTGCCACAGGCAGGTTTGGTTTTGCTTTTTTTCCTTACTTTGCTTGTTAATAAGCAGCATTGCCTCTATCCTTGGAATGACTACACTCTGCATACCAGGACCTGTAGGGACTAAATACTTCTTGTTAATCTGCCAGGTGCCTTCTCTCTTACATGAACTGAAAAGAAATGCATTTCTGGCCTTTATTGAAAAGGACAAAGAGATAATGTTAATATTTGTTGGAATCACAGCAGAGTTTCTGGCATTGTGCCCCTCTTGACAATGAGGATTTGCTTGCTTTCATATATAGAGCTGTAGTCACAACAGGCTTTTTGGATGCTGGTCTAGTTTCTAGGATACTCTGCCAACACATGCGCCTGTGTAAACAGGCATAAAATAGTCACAATCACAACTTCAAACAAAATGCTGGATTTAAAAGTTACAAGTATAAATATACTGGACTATGGAAACTAATGTTCATGCAAAGGATGATTAAAACATATAGGGCGGATACTAAGGAGACAGGCAGCCTGAAAGACCACGCAGAGGGCTGTAAATTTGAAAATCTGTGTTTATAATCCGCACTATGCTGTTACAGAAAAGTAACGGAAATCGATGTAGCTTAGATTCTTGACAGAAAAACACGGGAGTTAAAATGTCTGTATCAATGTGACAAGACTGAACTCAGCCTTGCAGCCTGAGTTCAAATGCCATGTGCATGCAGCTGCTGCACACTGGCAGGATGCAGCTCAGATATGCCACTGCACTGGCGTTTTGTCAGTTCAATTCATCAATTCAAAAGAAAGCTATGACGGCTGAACCTACTGAAAAAAAAAAAAAAAAAAGAGCCTAGCTTAAGGAACCAGAAGCCAAGGATTTTCAATACAAGAGCTTAGCGGTGTAGGGAAGAAAGTAAAGTACATACTGATTGCTCTCTTAGTGAATGGTTTTCCTCATTAACATTGTGTTTTATATTATAGGTGGGCAGGAGAGAAGGGGGTGGCCTGAAAGATCCTTTCCAACTGAAACCTCAGTATTTGCATTCAAAGAGCAATTTTCATCCTCTTTAATTAGCAATATAAACAGTAAACATCTGCTATTAATAATTTCTCCAGAGTAAACAACTTTAGCAAAACATGTTTTGCTATTACAGCCATTGAGAAATGTAATAACCGAGAAAACCTTATTATTTTGCTAGTAGATTCACCCAAACATAAAACACAGACTGGAACCATTCAGCTGCTTTTACTAGATGTACAAAGCTGTTTCCAATCCCAAGAGCAAATTTAAAGATCACGTACTCACATGTGCTCTGATTAGAAGTGGCATGTCCTACCTTCCAGAGATGACTTCAGGGGCTGCATAATTTGGGGAACCACAGCTGGTGCGAAGAAATTCACCATCTGACATCATGTTGGACAATCCTAAAAACAAGATGTTCGCTACATATTGACATTTGATGTGAATGTCCAGACAGACAGGACTCAACAGAGGAGGAGAGATATGGCAAGTGGAGGGGGAAATTTGACATCATTTAGGCAGAAACCTCTGAGCTGCTTTGATAATCCTTAATATTTTCACATCCATACAAGGAATATTGACTCCAAGCTAGCTTTGCTTCTCTGAGGTGCAAAGCTCGGAGCCTTCTTTAGCAGAGGAAGAGAGAAATAATTCACTCCAGAGTGTGTTGTTTATATGGGAATTGTGTGGGGTTGTGAAATTTGTAAATCTTTAAAAGGATTTATCACTGCTAGAAAAGACTGAATGGGACTGAGCTGGTAACCCAGCTTTTACGTTGGATTTCAAACAGTAATGCCACTTAAAGACTCCTGTTACTGTTCATTCGGAAAATGAAGTGAGGCCAAGAGCACACGGCCATACTAAGGAGAACACACATGAAAATATGCAGCCAGCTCACCCTGGAATTAACTGTGATGAGTCTGTCTTAAACATAAATTAACTAAATCTTTATATTAGGTGATTATAATAAAACATAGTGAAGATTTGCAAATGACCTTGCTTCTCCATTATTAATGCAAGCACAGAAGCAGCCTACAATAAGTAATCCCTGCTTTTGCTAAGAGGCCAGTGTTTATAACTGTGGGCTTTTCAGGTAGAGAAACTGCTAGTGGTTATGAAAACAGACTCTGGGTTTTGTAAGGCGTGCTACGCAGACACGCTCCAGCAAGTGGCTTGTAGCTGGCTGCATTTCTGGAATGCTGTTGGGGTCACATACCAAAATCAGCTATCTTCGCATTCATGTGTGCGTCCAGCAGCACGTTCTCCGGTTTCAGGTCTCGGTGGACAACCATGTGTCGGTGACAGTAATCCACTGCGGAGAGAATCTGCTGGAAAAGGCGTCGAGCCTCTGCCTCTTCAACCTGCAGACGCAAGGGGAAACCGGCCTGAAGGCTGCGGGGCTGGCGAGGGGAGGTTTGCCTTAGCAAGGAGCCAAAACTGTTTCACAGAGCGGAGACAAAACTATAACATGCTTGTGACCACGCTGGAACCAGGAGCAGCAAATGAAGCAGATTTCCCACTGGCATTTAATAACGTGCTCGTGTTTTCAAGCGATATAGCCCAGAACTGGGGGTAATGAGATGAAATTGGAAAACTAAATTTGGCTGAGCTGTCAAGGAGAACCTACTGGTGACACCTATCAGGCAATAGCCTGCTTTCACAAGGGGACAGGCTCTGTTGTACAGCATATGAAGATCAAAACACTGCAGAGGATGCTACAGGGATGATGATACTGCAATGATGCTACAGACAGAAAATCTACATATAAAATGATCAGGAGACTTATTGTTTATGCTGAAGACTTCCTAAATATTCCCTTCGTGAAAATTTAGTTTCTGAATGTGAGAGTTCAGAAAGGACCCAAATTGGTCATTGGAAAGATCCAAGTGGGCAAAATCAGAAATCATGCTGGAAACAGAACTGTATGTAAAAACATAAATTAGTTACCTCCATCTACCAGTGCAATAACCTAAAAAAATAAAATTGTAAAATTATTGACTTTTTGTAGTATAGAGAAGAAAATGGACTGATCCTTCACCCGAAGCTCTATTCTGGATGTTCGTTTTAGTCCATTTTGTCTCTTTGACCTGAGACTGCTCCCTGACTATGAGGATGTCCACAAGTGATTTTCTCTGTAACCATAATATCACCTTTCGTGCACTCAACCTATTCCTCAGATGATTTATACCCAGTAGGAATACTGGCATTTGAAAATGCTGTTCAGATAAGCCACATCCTTAAAAAGTCTTCAAAAAGCCTGACATGGAGCCAAGGGGGAGTCTGGAGGAGGAAAATGACTGGGATGGAGACCACACCGAGTGCTCTTTCCCTCCAGTGCCCTGCACACATGTAAATCTGCTGCTGAACCAGGGGGGTTTGACAGGCAATCTATAGCAAAAAAATTAAAAAAATAAATATATGGTAGTTTTCCAAATATTTTCACTAAGCAACACGTTACCTTGGATATTTTGGTTTGCGTATCGAAATACATCACAGAATGTTGCAAAAAATGGCACACAACTTTTGTGCAAGGCGAGTACGAGACGCTCCAGATGGGATTGCTGTGAAGCAACTTCTATTTTGGGCCTTAACCTTAACCGTGTTCCCTGTAGCAGCCGTTTTACTTCTAAACATCATCCTCTTCCCACACAAGTGTTTGGGCTGACACGGTACTGGCACTTACACGTCCATGCTTACAGATGTAATCAAATAATTCTCCGCCAGATACATATTCCATGACCATGAAGAAGTCTGTTGGTGTGCTGATGACCTGGTACCTTCAAAAACAAAGGGAAAATAGAAAAATAGTAAGAAATAGGAAGGCTTTTAAACAGATTATTAGTGTTCCGTCAATCCTTAAAATAAGCAGTGCTCGGATCTTGCATTTATAATTGCTTTCCATTTCTGAAAAGCCATCTCTTATTTCAAGGGGCAAGTCAGGATAATCTTTCACTTGGCTATGAAAGAATCTCTTTTACAGATTTACCTTCTTCCTTCAAGCTTTTCAATAATCCTCTAAAATCTCTGCCAGAGAATCCTATTGCAATTAGGGCTGTCCTGACTTTCAAATTTCCATTTTGGCTATGATCTGCAACAAAATCTTCAGAAATGAAGGCTTTATTAAAATGGGGATGGGAATGGGGTATATTTGGTTTCCCTCTTGGTGAAGATAAATAAAGGAAGTCTAGACACTAGAGGGAGCTGCCCTTGGAAAGGTATAAAGACAAAGATGAGTGCTCCAGATTAATGTTATTTTTCAAACATTAAACTCCTTTATATTCTAATGATAGGTGTGTGGGGGAAAAGAGTATCCCCATTGACTTGCAAATTTACTCTCCACCTCCGCTAAACGATCCCAGAGTGCCACAAATGCACTTCAGTTTCCCAGCTGGCAGAACCTAACGGTGATGAGCTGCGGTCAATGCAGCTGTAGTAATTCATAGCAGCACCAGCCGAGGTGCCCTGTTTTAGACACATTATTTGCCCCCCCACCTTTTTTTTTTATTATTTTTTGTTTTTTTACAGTTGGTAAATAGATTTCAAATTATTTTCAGAGATCAGCAAGTGAACAGGTGTTAGTTCAACAAGGATCAATAGGATCAACTTAATTTTTCTGAAGTGCTTTGCACCCAGACATCTAAGTTGTTAGTAGCACTAATATTTCTTTCATTTATATGTAAAGTGATGGGACATCGCAACGGACTGAAAGAGGAGGTTTATGTACTGTAGTCTCCTCCTCACCTCTTTTCTTTATCGCTGCATTTTAGGATTGCAGTATTTACTGTAGGACACCAATGTTTTTAAACTGGTTTTAATTTCTAGGCTTTAAAAGGTTGTTTGATAAATGTGTGAGCGGGACTTGCAGGATACTGCATGCACAGCTGAGGACTCTTGCTGGCTTTTTTGTAAAATAATACCAATGTGTTCTCCAATAAATCCAGGGAACTGTGAAGTTACTCTAAAGTCAACAGTTGCTGCATGGTTAGTTATTTAACTGTAGGGAGAATTTGTTTTCCCTTGCCTCTAAGTCCCAGGTATTTGCTATATCTCATGCCAGTTTTAAGGCTGACCTAAATGTCAACTTATCCTCGCAGTTACCATTCAACAGCTTTCTTTTATAGAAATGCCAAAGATATTATCGAGTGCCTCATTAATGTGGACTGGCTGCACAAACTGGGGATTGAGAAGGAATCCCAGAGGCTGGAGTGCAGGTGCTGATTTACAACTTAAATTCAGGTTCATCAGAGTGGCAATGTTGAAAACTTATGTCTGAATAATAAATAAATAAAAATGTTCCTTTAAGCTCTGGATAATCAGGCCATTAAAACATAAATCCTATTGAATTCAGGCCAAAGCTTCACTCTAAGGGCCTGGCTGTGCTGTAATTCCTCAGGCATGATTCTCAGTAGCTTCAAGTCCTGAAATACCAACCCAAAAAAGGGAAAAATCACAGAAATTTCGTATAGCATCCCAACACAGGAAAGTACAGATCCTCAGATCCTCTCCAGGCAACTTTGTAATGGCCTCAGCAAGGAAAATAGGATGTTTTGTGCAGCTTTAGCTAAGCCAAACTTGGTGCAGGGACAAGTCTGATGGCTGGTATAATGGCCCAAACTCCCAATGGTAGACACATTTTCCATCGTTTCTCAATGTGTTGATTGTGTCCCCAGGCAAATTAGCAGGAGGATTCTCAATAACCAGCATTTGGCTCTAAAATGCAACAACTTGACCACGCACCTAACATCCTCTACAACTATAAGCCTTCTCTTGAAACCAAGCTGCCATGTGAAGCCTTTGCAGATGGCGCAGTAAGGTGAACACATGGAAGAAAATGTACTTACAGTTTGATAATATGAGGGTGCCGGAAGAGTTTCAAGTTTTGAATTTCTCGTTTGATCTTCCCAACCACATCCAGGCTGCGTATTTTCTGTCTGTTTAGTATTTTTACTGCCACTTTGTGCCCTGTCAGCTGGTGTTCGCCAACTAAATAGAAAGAGAGCATTGCAAAGTCACTAAACAGAGAACCAAGGTTCACATAAGCAACTTAAGATACTGAGATAGACAATTTCTAAGCAAAAAGCAACTCTTGAAGGGAAAAAGCAATAGAACTTGGGATGTTCTGCATGTAGTCCAGATATTAGGACTTTATTTTCCTCAGCTTTCCTATAGGTACTCTTCACGTTTCTTAAGCCCTCTTTCAGAGAGAAAAGTTGGAACCAAACACCCAGGAAAGTGGCAAGTTTAAAGGAAGCAAAATGATGCAGCATTTCATACAATGCCTTAACTAAAACAGCAGAAATCAGTGCCACAATATATAAATGACTTTACAACTAGATTTGGCACAATTGTAAAGCAAATCCCAATAGACCTATTCAAAAAGACAATTTGGATAAAGAATGACTGAGTGCTTAAAAGTCAGCTTGTGTCTCCTCACTTTATTATTTTCCTATTGAAGTGTAGGAAGAAAAGAGGGGACTTATCTGCAAAGTGAGTTACTGGAGGTGTTCATACCCAAAGCTAATTTGCAAGGATTTATAGCACGAAAAGGTTACAGCGATCAGAAGCAGATATATTTAAATGGCAGCAGAGAATCTCCACTGTCACGCATGGGTTGAGTAAATCCCTGATAAACCAAATCTTAAAACTAGAACATCACGCTTCTTTAAGAAAAAAGATATAGAGATTTTTCCCTGCCCAAAACAGGACTGCGGGATTTGCATTACTAAAATGAATTTCTATTTATACTTCCTTAAGTGTGCTTCTTGTTTTGATGACAAGCAGCAGGAACACCACGCTGGAGAGTAAGAGCTCCAGCAAATTCTGCTTGTAGAAAAGACACAAACTTTAATATGTGTTTTTATAATATCCACATGGTGCACTTACAGTGATACTTATCTCCTGCATGCATCGGGACAAACAGTGACCATAATCTGGAGTAACACCACGGTTACTGGTGTAATGGCACTAATTTATCAGTAATGTAAAATGAATTCAGAATTTAATCCATTTGCTATCAACAAATAGACTATTTTAAAAAGGAAAACAATTGCTCTGTGTTGCAGGAAGCAAAATTTATAGTCAAGTTAAACTGCTGAAACTGCTTGAAAACTGTCAATCAGGTGTTTACATCTAAAAGGGTTCTCTGGCCACAGGCTACCCCTCTGCAGTATCTCAAGGTGTGACACTCAAAAAGGTGGCATAGAGATGGCTTTCTAAAGACTGTAGGCAAAACCTGCTTACGGTACATATCTGGTCTCCCTAATTATGAATATTACCCCTTCAATAATAACATAGAGCACAAGGAGTTAATAATTATGAACGAACCCTGTTATTATGTTATTAGAGTCTGTAATTTTGGAGCCTTTAACGAGGTGATCAGAAGCAACCTGCATAAGCAGGCAGCCTGAGAAGGACCGGACGGCAGCACCAGCACTGCTCGGGGCACGCAAGGTCACTATTATTAGCCACGAGATAAGACCTGCCGGAGATTCTTTCCTCAATAAGAGCATCCTAAAAATAAAACACTTTACTGCCCTTGAAAATTAAAGCACCACTTTGCATGTCCATTTTATTCCTCGTAATACTTAAACTACCAGATGAAATGAAAATAAACTCAGCTTTGCAGTTTGGATGCAATTTAGGGATTAGCTGGGGGCTGAAGTAGGGAGGTAATTCCTCCTGTGTGGTACAAGGAGAGCACTGAAAATAGTCGGAGGAGGCATTTTCCCTGGTGATCCTCGGGGATGGGAGAGCAGGGCAGTGCTGGACTTGCCCCGCTGCAGGGAGGCTGTGCTGGAGCAAAACTCTGCAAAGCAGCCTGTGTGCAAGGGGTGCAAAAGCCTGCCCCAGGTTTACTGGCCAGGGCACAGCTTCTTCATTCACTGCGAGAAATCCTCCCCAACTTGCTGTGCTTTGGCTGACAGTACTGCAAAAGGCACCGACCTCTCCTTGCCCAGGTTGTCATGGCTTATGCACAGCACACGCTGCACCGAGGAGGCTGGGGAAGGCAGAACAGAGGGGGAGCAACAACTGCAGCGGGTGTCTTCAAGACATTTGACTTGGTTGACCTTTGTGCTGCAATACCTCTGCCCTCTTCTTCCCTACCTCTGTGGCCGGGAATGCAATACACTGCATTTTGAAAGCTGCCCTTGCTTCATTTAGCCCCATTCAAGAACTGTAGTGCACTAGGGCAGTACTTGGGAAAACGAGGACCAGCAAAGCAAAGTGGCTTATGGCAGAACTAGGAAGAAGACTCAGATCACTGCCATCCTTTGTTCAAGACAAGTCTGTCTGGCCTTACCCCAGCATATACTTCGGGGAAAAAAAAAAAAAAGGCCATTCCCGGAATGAATAATTATTGTTTTTAAACTACTGCCGAATAGTTCATCTTCTTTCCACCCATGACAAACAACACTCAACTCTGCAAAGGTTTTCTAGTTCAAAGACATCAATAATTAAAAATAAACAGTCTATTTTGTAATCCATCTTTTGCTTACAGTAAGCATTAGATACAGAGATATTATTGTTTCGGTCCCCAGTGGCTTGTTAAGCCTACTCGAACGTCTTGAGAGAGACAAAGAGAGAATATAATTTGCTATGTGGTGGGTGTCTTTTAAGCCTTTTGGGTCCCTCCTGCTGCAGCCTGCGGACACGGGAATTTCCACACGTGGCTCTAGGGACAATTTTCCCCTCTGCTCACTAAGTTTCCAACCCAGCACACGCCGGGGGCACGGTGCAGCCCTGGCACGGGGAACACCAGCAGGTCCCACGTGCTTGGGTAGGGCTGAAAGCCATCTCCGTGCTCATGGGTTTGTCCTCTCCTGGTCCCTGGGATGGTGCTGAGGGAGCCTTCTCCTTCCTTCTCCCTCCCTCCCCGGATTAAGAGCCCACGGGGAGGAGGGAGGGCTGAGCAGCAGTATTAGGAGAGGGATTGGTGCACATCTCGTCTTTTAGTGGCAAGTGCTCTGGTAAGCTCCCCCGCAGCTTAAAATCAGCAACCAGGGCTCCTTCAGGGCAGGTAGAGGAGACGGATTTGACCTTGAGATGAGGAGCAGCCCTGCGTACTGAACAGAGGCCCTAAACTCCTAAAACTGGCACCAAACCAGACGTGGTGCGAGTGTCCTCAGCCACTACAGCATCTGCTTACACATGGGACTGCCTGGGGACAAGAACACTTCAGTATCAGATGCTACTAGAGAAAGAAGAGAAGATACAACAAATTAGTTTCTGATAGAAGACCCTTTTTGTTATGTTATTTTTACATGAGAAAAAGACGAGGATGGATAGTGTTTATCTTGCAGTGAGCCAAGATAATCACTGAAGTCCCTTGCCAGCGTGGCTTTTTACATGAAGCCCACCTCTGGGTGTGTGTTTGGCACAGCTCAGGCAGCACAAGCACTTATGTTTTTTGCAAATACTTTACAAGGACTGTAAAAGTTTAGGGAAGGAAGAGGAAACTCCTTCCCTGTCAGCTGTGCTGGCCCTTATCTTAGCCTGAAGTTACAAATGAAATCAATCCAAAGCATATATTTAGCCATGACGTATTACTCCTGTCCCAGTGCCACTTGCTCATATGTTCTGTCACCGTTCCTCTCCCTTTCCTTCATCTGTTCAGGCTCTTCTAGTTGATCATCCTCCAGTGCATCGTTTGTCCTTTAGCAGCAATGGAAAACAGGACATGACCCTGCCTTGAGCCCTACGAACATATATAAACATAACCCAAGATCTGCAGGTCCCTGAGGAACCATGAATTGATCACTTTGGTGGCCAAGAAGCATAGGTACGAAACCACCAAGTGGCCACCTGGGACGCTGAGCATGACACCGCAAGAAGAAACACTGCAGCAATTCCTCCTGCTGCTACTATTGCTTCCCTAAGCTCCAAATCCACAATACGGACACCTCAGCTCTATTTTCTGCAAATTCATCTTGTCTTGAGTGTAGAGGTCAGGGGGAATAACTATCACCAGCTCTCCCTGGATTTGGCAAAACCCTGTGGCACCAGTGGCAGCTCCGAGCCTTCCTCCGAAGCCTGCTGTCCATCCACACTCACACCCACCACCTTCCTCCCCTGTAACAAGTGCTGTATTCCCATCAGCTCTTCCAACTGGGATTTCAGCATTAGCACCAAAATCCTGCTCTCATCTCTCAACCTATCTGCTCCCTTCACCTCGTGCCTTGTGTGGTCTTCCTGTAAATGAGATTAAGGAACCAAACGGGCTTAAAAGTAACAATTTCTTTTAGCTTTCAGTGAGGCAGGATCATGCACCAATGACACAGGCAGCGTTGAGGTAGAACGAACATCCCAACAGGGCAGCAGTGACTTTTGCTATCATACCTCTGGTTTCTGATAGCTGGAAGCGACTCCTCAGCTCCAGCCACAAATTCAAGCTCCGTTAGCATCCCATCGCCACTAAATCCTCCCGCCACCCTTCCACTGCCCTGTTTCTGCTTCCTTAATACCTTCATGGTTGGAAATTGCAATTTATTATTTCTTAACCATGGAGAGTAAGGCAGAAAAAGTGCCTCTCGCAAAGTCTTGTGCAAGGCAGGTTGAAGAAAACACATCAGCAACAAGAAACGCGGCAAGGATGGCCCCAGCCTGCTGAGCGCAGAAGTAATTATTACACACAACGTACACAAAGCTTGAAGCAACCAGGAAAAAAATCTCTTCGCTTTCCCTGCGTTTTCTGCTAAACACGGTGAATACGGTCTTTTCTAAAGCCCGTTAGATTAAAACACTACAATTCTGCACAAACAGGAGATCCAGTTTCTATGTCTCGGTTTCCGATCTCACATCCAAATTTCACCTGTCAAACACCAACTGCCATCACAGCCAAAATACTATGTGAAAAATACACAAGTATAGCGCGTACTACTTACTCATATAGGGCTTCGAGTTTAGAAATCATTTTTGTGTTATTTTAAACGTGTCTCTGAAACTGTTCTTAACCAAAGCGGGGAGATGTATGCGCTGGGAGTGCTGGTGCTAGCTACTCCTGAAAGGTAGCTAAGGAAAACAGGCTTTGTTGGCAGGCTTAATTTGGTCCGCAAGAAAAAAAAAATGCTTTTGGAACACTTTTTGAGGTCCGCTGGCATACAGGAGTGATTTAAACAGTCCTTACTGTTAGAAGTATTTATTCTGATAATTCTTTAGTCGCTAATTTGTGGTTTGGGATTAAACGCGGCAATATATTTTTAGGGGCCTGATTAATGGTCACAGGTGGATTTAGCTCCAGCGGTCGAGGTGTTTTCTCTCCCCTGCTGTCAGTTTTGGTTTATTTTAATACTCCGGCCGCCAAGCGCGGGCACATCTCCTGTCTGAGCAGCCCCTGGGCACTGCGGCAGCCTCCCATGGCAGGGCAGGGGACATCCCAGCAGGGCAGATGCTCCGCACCAGCAGTCTGGAATCACAGCTCTTCATTTCCCTTAGATAACACAATTTTATAAAGCTTTTTAAATTTATTTATTTATTAATATCATGACTCAGTGCGAAAATGGCAGATTTGGCAGGGAAAAGAGAAAGAAATCTTAGCGTCAGGTAAAGCAAAGCTGGTGCCTCTCTTGAGTTGCCCTCTCCGGGGTGAATCCCAGGGGACCCCCCCGAGCCCCAGCCCTGTCTGGCCGCGGGGCTGCTCGCACGGGGAAGGGGGGTGGACAGCAAATAGACCCCCTCTCTCTTCCTCTTCCTCGCACCCCCCCGGCTCGAAGCGAGCAGGATAAGCAGCCCACAGCCCGTTTTCCACGCAGGGCTCGGCAACGCCGACCCTGCCGCCCAGCCTCCCGCATCGCCGGCCTCCCGCCGCCGGTTCAAAGTTTTGCTGGGGGCACCGCAGGCGCTGGGGGCAAAGGGGGGGGCCGCAGCTGCTGCTACCAAAGGGCCAGCTCGGCGCTCCCTCGCCCCTTTCCCCCCACACACCCCCAATTTGCAGGGGCCGCCCCATCCTCTGCGCCCACCCGGCGCGGCGCCAGCCTCCGCCCGCCCCCGGGATGCAGCGCGGAGAGGGGGCGATGCCCGGGGAGGGGAGGGAGGGGAGAGGCGACACGGGGCGACACGGAGACCCCCTCCCTCATCCAGCCAAGCCCCCTCCCCTCCCTCCATCCATCCCCTCCCCTCGGTACTCAGCTCTTGACTTTGCCGAAGGTGCCGACCCCCAGCGTGTCGCCCAGCACGTAGTGGCCGATCTTCACCCGCCCGTCGTGCTTCTGCTTCTCGGCCATCTTCGCCCCCCGCCGGCGGAGCCACAATGCGCAGGGCTGGCCCGGCACGGCACGGCTCTCAGCACGGCTCGGCACGGCTCTTAGCACGGCTCGGCACGGCACAGCAGCGCAACGGGCGTGCGCAACGGGGAGCGGCGGCGGCGGCCCGGGCTGGGTGCGCGGGGGCGGGGATGGGCGCGCCCGGTGCTGATGGATAGGGTGGGATGGGATGGGGTGGGATGGGATGGGATGGGATGCAGCTTCCCGGGGCTGAGGCCGGCCTCAGGGATACCCTCGCCGGCGTGCACCTGCCTGCGGGTGTCCCCCGTGCTCGGGGTGGAGCCCCGAGGAGGTGCCGCTGCCTCCCCGGTGCGCCCTAGCCGGGATGCGCCCCCTTCCTGCTGGGGAGGGTCGCCTTCGGGTGTCCCCTCTTCGGGGGGCTGCTAGCTCGGGTGGAATTTAGTGGGGGATTTTGTCTGCCTGGGGGTGGCAGCATCCTGGGGGTGCAGGAGCCTAAGGGTGATGCTGGCCTCAGGATGCATCCTGCTTGCATGGGATGCTATTTGGGGTGAAACATGCCTTATGATGCATCCCTTTTGGGGTGCACCTGTGTGAAAGTGACACTGTCCTCTGAGGGACACCCAGCTGAGGGTGGGAGTGTCCTTGGGGTGCACCTATTTGGGGGTGTCACACCTGGGTAGCACCCATCTGCCCTCGGGGTGTGTCCTCCTTCTGGTGCACCCTCTTTGGGTCAATCCCCTCTCGTGGCATACCTGGCTTGGGGTGACGCCCAGCTTGGGCAGCAGCTGCTTGAGCCTGACACCCTGCTTGTGGTGACACCTTGCTTCAGGTGACACCGGCTAGGGGAATTGTGTCGGGTTCATAGAGTGCATCCCCACAGGAGGGATGCTGTGGGGCAGGAGGCATGGCCCAGTACGTGCCCTGTGTGGCCCGGCTGTAGCTTGGGCTGGGAGATGAGATGGGCAGGTGGAGGGAAAGGATGAAAATAATCAATAATGGGCAATTAAATAACATGGGCTGGTGGGGGTGAGGGGAAGGGAAAGGCTGGCTTTGGGTGATGGAGGTGCTGCCTGCTTCTAGCAGCTGCTGGCTGGGCTGTGGGGGCTGCTGGGAGGTTCATGCTTGGCAAAACAGCTCCAGGAGCCTTCCTGCGGGTCACTTGCTGTGTTAGTACAACGGAATGAAACAGATTCACAGGGAAGGAAGCATCCGTACATCAGTCAGTGCAGCCAGCCGAAGCCATCTCCACATCTTGGCAGTGTTGTCAGCTGCTTCTCCTGAGCTAACAGCTCATCCTAATGATAGCGTTATCCGTTCCTTAGCATTTCAGCCCTGGGACAGCCTACGGTCTGCTACGGTAATGTTGTAAATTAAATAACAACATAACCACTCTAAGTGGGCTAATTCCTCTTGCTAGAGCTTCTGTCTTATTAGAAGTGTACTTCAGGGGAGGGGAAAAAAAGGCTATCCTGAAGGAAACACACATTCAGCAATCCCAGCTCTGTTCTGTAATGAAGATTCCCCTTTCACTTATTAAGAGGAAAACTGTAACCCCAAAATGAAAGCCCCTTTCCCCACTGTGCAAAAACTGAGCTCAGCAAGCAGCTGTCACAGGTTTGTTTGATATAAAGAGGTGATGGTCTGCCTCCTTCACATGCCCTGTGGCCTCAGGTGCATGGTCCTGGGACCCCAACATCACCTTAAAAAACCACGTGTGCTCTTCCCAAGTAAGCAGCATGGCTGAGCACTGAAATAAATGGATCTCATGTATTTAAAGTGTGGTCCTGACACATTTTTATTCTAACCTCTCCAATACTGAACTTTGTTATTCAGCTGCAAGAGGTAGCAGAAGGTAGCCAAATGCAGTCCACGTTCTGAAATAATAAAGAGCTATTTGGGAAGCTGGAATGGGAAGATGTATAAACAAAGGATGTGTGATAAAATAATGACCAGACTGTGCAGCCATACTGTCATAAATAATAAAATGACGACTTAATTCAACAAATCCATTCATGTAAATAAAATAGCAATCTCAGGGTAGAGACAAGAAGGTTGCTGCAGTATAAAACCATATGTAGTGTAATGAAACCATATCTGCTCAATCAGAACAATCGCTGTACATCAGGTTGTAAGAGAAGCAGTATTTACAAATAACAATATTACTATCTTATCTGAAGTTTACTATGTCTTGGAAAGCCTATGAAAACTGGTCTTCAGGCAGCTGCAAACATCCGTCCGTGCAAGTCTTTACCTTGCAAAATCTCGGCAGCTTTCTTCACTCCTTGCACACCCGAGCACATGGGGTTTGTTTGATCTCTGCTTCCAGTCTTGGCAAGCCCTGAGCCTGCCTGAATGAGGCACCACAACAAGTAGGTGAGATCTCGCATAGTATTTTTGTAATGGCTAAATTAATGTGTTTAACAGGAGCTGCTGTACGTAGGTGCATTATTTAGCCTTGCTTGTTTCTTCAAAGTTGGTAGCTAAATCTCAGAGCAAACTGATGCATCATGAACATTGATGCAGCTTATTATTACATACAGATGCTGGTAAATAGAAATATTGAGTTAATACAATAATATTGAATTAATATCAATAAAGTTTTTACTCTACAGATACATCTTCTGGGCTTAACGCTTACAGGAGATATCCAGAAAGCCCTTTGCTCAGAGGCAGATGTGTCTGTAGGTGGGTGGGCACCTTCCACCCGCACAAGATCACTGAGAGCAGTTCTGCAAAGATCCCGATGTGCTGTGGGAAGGCAGCACCATGGCTCGGGTTCCTCTGTGGCTGTTTACCTGTGCTTTTTCAGCCACCTTGGGCTAGCAGTTGGCTTTTCTGGTCTGGGGGTTATTAAATGCATCCTCCTGGGGCTTGTTCTACGTATTGTTGCTCATGCCCCTCGTTGGACCCCAGTGCCAGGACCCCAACTCACATCTGGCTCTGCCTATGCCTTCCCCAGCCACATCTGACCCTGTGGGGATTTCAGCTTGGCACCCTGAACCTCTCGGCTTGCCTGGGGATGCGTTACGATGCTGCCCTTTCTGGCTCAGGCCATGTTTTCTGGTTCAATGTGACCAAAAAAAGACTAGGAACGCTGTGCATCTATTTATATGGGAGCTCAGATTCGGGGCCATGCCGTCCAACTCTGTTAAGTGCCCTAAATCTGTGGATTTTCAGTAGGATTTGATTTCCCGGGCTGTTTGGAGGAGATGGTTAATGAGATAATGCAGCAGCGGGTAAACTGTGACATGTGAAATGATTTATTTTGAATGTTTCCGAAACTACATGCATCAGAGGCTTATGGACACTAGATTTGTAACCAAGCAATTTCCATTTATATTATGTAACTGATGTTATTTATCAAACTGCACGCGCTGGCCAAGAGCAGATGTTGAACTGCAGTACTACGGTGTTGGAAATGAACTTTTCAGAGGGTTAGTTATTTGAAAACAATCTTGTGATTAGTTCATTGTGATGTAAGCATATTCCAAAAAATGTAGTGCATATGGGTCCAAAGTCTATTATGTTCTTTTCAGTATTAAGTGAAAATCTGGACTGTGTGGCAACATATGATGCTCTGCTGGGGATGTGTGCTGAAAACCCTCCCGGAGTCAGGGGAGGCAATGAATGTGATATTTCTGACATCCTAAATAAAACACGTCAAGCATGCAACATGCTAAACAGTTGTTTAATTAGGAGACTGCTGAAAAGAGGCTGCTTGTGCCACCAAAAATCTGATTTTAGAGGCCAAATGTGCATGTAATGAGATACCTCATCTCACTAGAAGTCAATAATAATCAATTACTGTTGTTTTTTTGTATGCTCTGCGATGGCTTATCTGGGCACTTTGGGGTCATTTGTAAGGCAGATGTGTACACTACTCCTTTTTCTGCAGTCACGGAATTGATCTTTTAGGCTGTATCTACGGATGTGTAGCACGACGTGGATTTACAGTGAGCTTTACAGGGAGTTTATTTTGTTTCTGCACAGCCTCGCCCTCCTTTTCTTTACAAATACAGGCAGCCCAGCTCCAAATCCTGGAAGATAACTTCTAGCAGTGCAGAGGGAAAAGCAGTGACCGTGTGAGCTGCTTATAGCATTTTTCTGTGGCTTGCCAAGTATGTTTTCTTTCAGGGCATAATCTGCGAGAGCTGGCAGAACTTCTCTTGGCTTTGCCTAATTAAATCATCTGGGAAAGGGCTTGTTGGTGAGGAGGAGTCTGAAGCGTGTCCTCACTGCTACTTCGCACCCTTCTCTTTGGACCAGTGAGGTTATGCTCCAGCGACTGACTCTGTAAAACTTCAGGATTTGGTCCTTTGCCTATAAAGTCAATCCAGCCTCTTTTGACCTTGCTATAAAATGCTATTTAAAGATTCACAGCCTTGCAGAATCAGTCCACTGTTTCCTTGCCTCTTCAGTATTTTTGTTCTGAATCAGAGGATTGCTGCAGACAGGGTGGAACAACATGTTCTCCACGTCCACAATGGCCAGGACAAGAATAGGGCTAAAATTAAACCACAGACAGATGGTATGAAATGAAGAAATGCTTAAAATGAGGCTTGTTGAAGCATCAGAACCTATTTGGTTGGGACTGTGGAGTGCAGATGTTCCTGCCCGGGGCAGAAGGATGCTGCAAGGTCAGTTCCCGCACATTGAGCGTTTGATTCATGTCCCAGCCAGGGCCTTGGGATTTGGGTTCAGCCCCTGTGGGATGCTGGGCAAGCTGCTAAGGGCCACGTGAAATTTAGGGCTGAAGTCCCCAAAGTGGGGGAGCTGAGCTGAAGTTGAAAAATCATGATCCGAATCTCTGACTCTGCTGCTGCCAAGCCCTGATGTTTAGGTGGCTTTTTTTATTATTAGTATTTTTTAATTTATTTTTTACTATTAAGTTCCCCAGATGGGAACCTGCCAAAAAAAAAAAAAAAAAAAAAAAAAAAAAAAGCCAAACCTCCTTTTTTTAACCCAAACAGCTCTGTTTTTACCAGCACTGAGCTGTGGAGTTACCTAACCCAGAGCAACGCAAGATGTGGGCCCTCCCTCGTGCCTAATACCTGGGTGCCCTGGGAGCACCTTTAGCACCTTGCGGTACCTGTGGCTTGGGAGAAAGCTTTGCTTGGGGGAAATTTCTGCTTCCCTTTTCCAGTTGTG